AATATCTAATTTATGTTCTTATTTGTAATCCAATCGCAAATAAATTAGTATCGTTGGATTCGTCAAAATATCTTTTTTTCGGAAAGTGCTTGTTAAAAAATGGTCGCCATTTGAAAAATAATAGTTAGACACGAAAATGTAATTTTGCCAACTTGTCTTATTCATGTCTATCATACTTGTCACTAAAACTTCGCGATTGTAATTTTCTGATATGACCTGAGGTCCTTAGATTAGTTTACTTCCGATTATGGTCACCTAGATGTAATTTCAATAGTGACTCCGAAAAAATTAAGTGGGCATAAAAACTTTCGCAAATGTCACATTCTGATCTAGAATTGTCTCAGAAATAAAAAATCTTACAATATACAGGGTGTTCCATTTAAACATTTAGAACCGGAGCCATTTCCGGTGAAACCGGAAGTGACCGAGAAGTGGAAAATATGTGAAAACTCTCCTCTTCACATACCATTTACCTATACCAATTCTCATTTTGATACACCTAATGATCTAGAAGTTATGACTTGTCTAATAGATCCGTTGACACCCAGTATATGCATGTTGTTTGAGATTTTCCCAAAATATTGTTGTTATGTACTATAATTTTGGCATCATCAACTACAAGCGGAATTGAAAAATGGCTCAGCCAATATTCTAGCTTTTTGAAATTCTTCTTTATTTATCTACATTATATTATATTTATGGATATTTCTGGAACTTCAATAAACATTTTTATTATTATTATCATCTGCACCTACTACAAAATGGCGAAACATTTGATTATTGCCTGAATACAGTTCAGAAGATGCTCAAAATGGGTGCCTTGAACTTCTTGACAAAAGAACTGTCCTATATCCAATACTGAGGCAGATGCAGTTTTGTATACATTTTTTACTTCAAATAGCCCCATAGAAAAAGGTCTAAAGGTGTCAAATCTGGCGAGTTGGCTGGCCATTCCGTAGAACCTCGACGGCCAATCCAACGACCAGGGAAAGTATTATCAAAATTTTTCTAATTTGTCTGGAGTAATGTGGTGGGGCTCCATCTTTTCATATTCATAATTATATCTGACTATTCCACTCTTGATCTCGCGAACCAATCCGACTCGACCATTTTCACGGTTTCTTCTGTATTCTAGCGATATTTTTTCTTTATTTAATTTTATCGGACTTGCTCTACCAATACAGAAGCCGAATTGACCCACATGTGACCAACAAACCTGGTTTATCAGCGATAAAATCTTGACATCGTGTCTGGTCAAGATTGCTTTGGATTCAAATCTGAGACAATAACCTAAGTTCCTACTTTATTTTATTTACTTATAATTCGCGTAAGTGAGATATTTTGTACGATAGGCGAGACAATTTTATTCTGATGGCTGGACGTTTCATGTGTAATTTAAAAAGTTTGCATATTTGTTGACGGTCTGACACAACAATAATAGAATCCAAATTCCTTTTTGGAGTGGTCTTCTTCAACTACTCAAGTTATTGTGACTGACTATTATAATTACTAGCTGATGTAGCGCAAATGTTAGGGTTGTTGCGCGAGGATACGAAGGTCCATGGTTCGAGCCCTCGGCGACGATATCTTTTTTTTTTTAATCATTCCATATCACATAAATCAATTTATTTTGTTTGAATTGGATAGCAATTATTGTAAACACTCTTTTGAGAGCAACCATCTCCAAGATAATAAAAAAATACTGTTTATCAAAAATGTCATTCACGAAATCACTAGGCAACAAGCTTTCGTAACAAACACCGAATATTTCCGGCAAAATATCATCACTTGTGGTATTATGTATGAGAATATTCCTTCTCAATACCAATACTGCTTTTTTGTAATTCGCGTTGTTACCTAGCGAGACATGAATGTAACATCCCAGGGATGTTGATATGTCACAATCCAGTATATAAGAAATCAAGAACAATAGAGTTGAAAACTGTCTCTTGAAGCGATGAATCGACGTGTTATATTATTGTTCAAATTTTCGTCTATCTCAAACATCTGATGGTGTGTTCATTCAGACCAACCCTGTATAGCCTCTCGAATGTCCTTTGGATCTTTTTCATAAGTCTAGAGCTGCAATTATTATAGAAAATCTCCAGGTACAGGTAGGATAAGCAGCTTAAGAATATAGAGCTTATGCAAATTTTCGTCCTTTGATGGAATTTTAATGAAATTTCAATACAGTTCTAAATGAACGTATAAAATAATGACTTTTTAATAAATTCTAATCGATATAGAAATTGCTATCAAAACAACTCATCGACTGTATATTTTGAACGAACATCCAGGCAAGTTATTTCATAATGAGTTATCGTAAAATGAACCTTCAATAAATCAGGAATTTTCCATTAAAATGTAGGCGGAATAATATTGACTTTATTCAAACTATCGGTTTATTCAACAGAAAACAGCTACTTTCCGGGCTATATGCCACTACGAACATTGAATTACATCTATTGAGCATAAAAAATTAAAATCCTCTGTAATTGAGAAATAAGTTTCGGCGAAAATTATATGTAAATGAAACACACTGTACATTGCAGCCATCATAGCAATTGATATCAGATCAACATTGATTTTTCGATGTTAGCTTTTCAATAGCCCGTTAAACTCATTTACTGCCGCAGGAGGATATAAAAGTAAAATGCTCACATTATTTCTATTGTTAAATCCATGTGTTTCCAGTCGAACGTGAAAATTCTGCTGAAACGGTAGATTATTTCTGACAATTTCGGAACTGATTTCAGCCCTATCAGTCTGTAATCTATTTCCTCTGTTGAATGGACGCCAACGGATTTTATTTCCAGATATCGATGATTCTGATGGAGAGCAGACATGCCATATATTCACATCAAAATTTTTTGTGGTGACTGAATCCATTCGGATGACTCTGGAATATCAAGAAAGTTGATACTCATAGATCCGTCATCAGAAATCTATTAAAAAATATGGTGAAACCTTAGCCTTGGCACTTGATATCTCCAAGGCATTCGATCGGGTCTGGCACCACGGACTCCTCGCCAAGCTTCCATCTTATGGCTTGAGCTCTATGTTCTCTGCTAGCTAGTTTTCTCTCAGACAGGTCTTTCCATGTAGTGGTGGACGAAGTTTCATCTGACTCTCTTATCATAAATGCTGGTGTTCCGCAAGAATCAATTCTAGCACCAACACTATTTCTACTCTATATCAACGATTTGTTGGAAGCAACTTCATAACCAGTAAACAGCTTTGCGGATGATAATACCCTCCATACCGCCTTCTCTTCCAGGGCTCCAATACCAGCAAGGCAAATCAGAAACGAACGAGGGAAAAATGTTGACAACATAAATATGGACTTGGCAACAATTCTCGAATGGGGATCCAATAACTTGGTGGATTTCACTGCAAACAAAACACAAGCAAGCATTTTCTCTAGAAAAACTGATCTCACTGTGCCCAACATAATCGTGTCAGGAGTAACCATACCTTTGGAGACATTCATTTCGATGCTTGGTATTACTATCAACAATAACCTTTCTAGGGAAAATCACGTGAGATCAATTGCTGAAAGTGCATCCCAAAAACTTGGTTTTCTGTTTCGGGACAGGAGCTATTTCACTCCCAGACAGCTGCTTATGACCTATAAGGCACAGATCCGACCTGTCCTGAAATACTGTTTCCATATTTGGAGTCCAGCACCCACACATACCCTGAAACTGTTGGATTCTGTCCAAAAAGGGCAATTCGTCTCGTGGGTGATGCCTCGCTCACAAACCCACTCACTTCTCTGGAACACAGTAGAAAAGTTGGCGATCTGGCTCTATTTTATAGATATCTTCATAGACGATGCTCTTCTGAAATATCAACAATCGTTCCTCCATTAGCAGTCCCCGCGAGATTTACCCGGGGAGTTGAGGCTTCGCATCCCTTCGTGGTCACTTTGGAGACCTGCAGAACATCTCTCTCCAAAGACCCGTTCATTCAACAAACAGCGAGGCTCTGGAACACATTGCCAAGGGAGGTGTTCCCCGAGGCATATAACCTCCAGAAATTCAAGAAGAACACCTTATTCCTACCTTATTTTTCTTGGTTCTCACGATGTTCCCTGAACATTACAGGATATCTCTTTTCGTGGAAACCAGAACATTAAAAAAAGATTTCATAACTATTTCGGCACGCCAAGTTCCATCAGTCACACTCGGTATGTCAAGCTGCTGTATTCACTCGGTTTTTGAAATGAACGGTTCTCTTGGTACGCCTGGTGTTAATTCTATTCATATTAATAGACCCTATTTGTTTCGAAAGCCTATATGTCATAAGTAGGCGTGAATATCCACCGAAAGGAACTATTCATTCGGATTAAATTAGCGCCAGACACCAACAGGACTCACCCTCAAGGAATAATTATCATTCATAAATTCATACCGTTTTGATTATTAGATGCCGTTTAGGCTATAACAAAATGTTGAAGAAAACAAAATAAGTCCATGAAGTATGAATACGATCTGTTGATCCAACAAATTCTTTTTATCGTGAACAAATCTTTGCCAAAGTTAATATATCCATAAGAACTCATAACCTCCAAGAGATAAAAATCGAATTCTACCTTCTCTTACTATCCTCTATAGGTACGCACGATGTTCTTGGAACATAGTAGAGATTCTCATCCGTACGATCCGAGGGCTGAAAAACTAAGATTCCAGGTCAAATCAGTGTAAACTATCAAAACCCACACATTAAGATAATTCCTGGGACCATAACTCAAAACTAGAGCCTTACATGTAGGCAGACTCGACAGGATAATAGAAGCGTTCCAGCCCCTCCGTTCCAGAAATCCGGATCCTGCGCTATCCAGGCTTTCCAGACCTCCCCCGCTAGAGTCCTTCTGTATAAAACAGACGCTTTGGCGTACCTACACACATACCGGACGTGTTGATATCGAGAAGCAACAGTTAGGGCGATTTTTTTAGAAGAAAAATTGTTTTTTTAGTGGTTAGTTTGGAGACTTGGAAATGGCCTTAGCAGGACATAGTAGTTTGGTTTCTGGTGTTGTTTTGTTTCTTTTTGCGTTCGTGTATGAGGTGAGTCAGAATTTTTTTTGCTAGAATGGGCGGAATCAACAAGTTCCTGCACGTGTTTTCACAGAAATGAAAAATAATTCCTAAAACAACTATTTGTCAGTAGTACGATGATCATACAGGGTGTGGAAAATTAGGAATTGAGAAAACCCAATCACCAATTCGTGATTAGAGGTCTGTACGCGAATTTCCATTGTTCAAGTTTGAATCCCTTGATTGGGATTGATTGAAAATATGGAAACATACAGGGTTAGCCATGAAGAACTGTACATACTCATAACACGAATAGAGGCCCTTGAGGGGAATAATTATAATGACCATCAAAATGTATCTGCTTCTCTGTTTCACCAATATATAGGGTGAATTATGAAATTTGGCAAAAACAACTTTTGGTCATAACTTTTCGGAAGCTCCTCCGATATCGACTGACATTTCTAGAATCGGTAAAATCCAGGACCGTTTTGAAAAATTTCGATATTTTAGTTTTTATCAAAAAGTTCATCCTGTATATGGTTTTCGTAAACTCTGACAGGAGTATTTCAAAGCACACAAAACATGCATCAAAAATAAAATATTCAAAACTCTCCTCACACCTTCAGACAAGTTTTCAAAAAACGATAAATTATAAGCGAAAACGAAAGTTTCACAACAAATTCATTCATTCGAAAATAATTACTTCGCAACGCATAAATTTCACAAATAAAATCACAGTCTCAATGCTTCTGCCCAATGGAAATCAACATGTTCTTTCTTTTCCAGGCTTGGATTTCGTCATTTTATTTTTTCAAGAGGGTAATAATCACCCTGTAGATATTTTCCAAATCAGTGAATAGGGTATTTGTTTAGATGTTAATGGTCATCGATTCAAATAATTAAGGATAGTCGAACAGAAAATAAAGGTTTATTCACAATATTTTTCAAAAGCTATACTGACAAAGGCGGATAATAATTCTAGTACGAAAAATGAGTGACCAAATTAACTGTATAAAACAAATCGAATGGAGAAAACTGTGAATTGAATTCCGTAATTGACTTTATCTTTGGACTTTCCCTTCCTCTTCCAACTTTCAGAACCCTACCTCAATGATTACGTAAGATTCGGGAGTGCTTCCGTAAAAAGTGCGACAAAATTAAATTTTTCAGAACTGAAAACTTTTCAGGAAAAATATGAATAGTTAGATAATTGGGCGTCCTTATTCCGAATCCGAAGTGATTTTCAACCTATTTTGACTCCTAATATAATTTTTCAGATATTGGGGTGGTTTCATGGCTGTTGGTGAGCAGTGTATATAACTGAAGATGACCCCACTTGGTCATAGAGTGCATTTTTGGTATATCTCTCGCTCCAGCAAATTTCAGGATCCTTACCCAACGATTACGTAAGATACAGGGGTGTTTCCATTAAAAATGGGTCACACTGTATAGAATAGAATAGAATAGATTTATTCACTTATGAAAATTCACTTATGAAAAATGAGATACAATAATAATAATAATGAGGTAGGTACAATAATATGAACTTATATGACTAAATTTACTAAATTACTTAATATTATGAAGAAACATGAGTAAATATGAGCGAATATGAACAAGTATGAGTTGAAACATCATTTTCTTGATACAATTACAATTACAAATTTACATTTCAACTGTTTCGTGAATAAATGCACAGAGCCCACTTAAGGCAGAGCCTTGTCTGTGGGTAGTACAAGTATTGTACTGCATTTGTTTAAATAAAAAATATATAAATAAATATAGTATGCGAAACACAAATTACAAATTATAATTTATGGCGTGTGTATTGACTACATGTTTAGACTAGAGGCACATAATTATATCTACTACAATAAATGAATAATATATTATAAAACAATTAGAAGAATCAACAAAGCTACATAAGACTACAAATGAGCATAATTTAAAAATTATACTTTATAATCGAAGGTTGCAGTGGTTTCAGAGTACATGGGGTTTTTATTATTTTCGTTGAGGTTGAAATGGTATGGTTATGAGGGGGAATTACAATCAATACTGGTAAGTATTTTTGACGTCTATCAACTGATGTACTGATAGCCTAGGGATTTGGAATATCCATTTTCTTGCATTTTTTCTAAAATTTCCGATCATCCTGAATTCTTTCAGTTCTGGCGGAACGCTGTTATAAAGTTTTGGTCCGAGATAAGAAAAACTTCTTTGATATATGAAGAAATACATTGTGAATTCGCAATCTCTTTTTGATGAAATTATCAATTATTTCTCGGTTTATTCAACAGAAAACAACTACTTTCCTGGCTATCTGCCACGTCGACCATTGAATTATATCTGTTGAACATCCAAAAAGAGAGCATGAAAAATGAAAATCCTCTGAAATTGCGAATAGACATCATCTCTCAAATCGGATAAAATAATATGATGTATTATGATATAAAAATATAACTTACCAATATGTTCAGTATTGAAATGAAAATTGAAATTTATAGGAGGAGTATACTTGCATGAACTCTGATTTGATGAGCTTGGAACTTTCAAGAAAATCATTCGTATCAGTGATATGGTAATTATATCTCTCACAATCACGTTATATGACTTCACTCGAATAAACTCATTTCGGATATGAAATCCTCATCAGTAAACTGAAGTCCAGCTATTCTTTCAGCCATTTTTGTGTTTCTTTGTCCTCACTGAAAGAGGTCTCTTGGTTTCACCTGTATAAAACTTTCCACAAACACAAGGTATACTGTAAAAGAATTTTGTCGATAAGACGATTCACAAATTGAAAACAAACAAGGTCCACCACAACAAAATCAACCATCAATAACGACAAATATAATACCATACATTCCCGGCATATCTGAAAAAATAAAACGTGTTGGTGATGAATTTGAAGTGAAAACTGTGTTCAGAACTGAAAATACAATGAGATCAATTTTAACTAAAACAAAACCAAAAAATGAAGAATATTCATGAAAAAATTGTATTTACAGTATACTTTGTGTTTGTGGAAAGTTTTATACAGGTGAAACCAAGAAACCTCTTTCAGTAAGGACGAAGGAACATAAATACAATATAACGAAAAGACACATCTACAAATCAAAACTAGCTGAACATATCCTTACTGAAGATGGACAACATATTATGGCAGAGTGGAATGATATAAAAATCATTGGAAAAGAAGATAACAACCAGAAGAGATAAATCAAGGAATCTGCTTGCATTCTTCTGAACGGGGGCAATAGTATTGCTTCTTGTTCAGTTGATATAGATAGAACATGGTAATCACTACTGAAATTTGAAAATAAAAATGGTAAATTCAAGATTAATTAATGAAAACATCCTGTAACTCATTTGATTACCAACGTCGCCAATTGTCACTGAAAACTGAGAAGTGTCAAGACAAATACGAATTTGCCATACAAAAAATCCATTTTTTATGTCGAAAACGGGAGCAGATTCGTTCCGGAAACGTCCAAAAAACAGGAACTTCTTGTGTCTGATGATGGCCGTCGCGTCGAAACCTGTAACATGTTGTATTATGATTGTTTTATATAAAGTGTGGTCGACCGACTTTGAGCTAGTTGTTTTCTTCGAAATTTCTTTGGACCACTTTGAGATATGGATGATTTTTATAATTTAATATCCATGAGTTCACAGTTGCATGAACGTCATAATATTTCATATAGCTCGGTTTTATGGAATTTATATGGGCCGTATGAATCGGAACTAATGAAACGGAAATCATTGATTTTATGTCGTGAGGGACACGAAATCGTGGGTTGACTGGAATTTCATTTGAAATTCTTCAACGTCTCTAAAATATTTGCTCAGGAAAAACATATCGGCGGGAAAGTTCGGTATTCCAGGATTCTGTCGATCAATTTGAACAGCAGACGATGGAAAATGTGTATTCGAAGCACACATGACAGTGGAATACACAGAGAAATATGAATCGTTGCATCAACAAAATAATTGTCGTCACTATTTTTCTTTGATTAGAATACATTTTTTCAAAATTTCAGTTTAGTCAATGAATGGGATGTAGAGGATAGTTTTTTCGAGTACTCGCTTGGATTTTGACGAAAGGTTTTGATCATTTCACCACCCATTTATCCCCAAATAAAGAGTCAAGAAGACAGTTTTCATATAAAATTTGACATTTATTGATTAAATGAAGAAATCGTGCATAAATGCTTGCCACATGGCAGGTTAGCAAAGAAAAAATAACAAAACGGCAACACAACGCAAAACAACACTTGAAAAAACAGTACTTACATTATACAACGTCTAGCTTTGGGTTGACCAGCAGGATTGAAGTCGAGGAGACGGCGAATATTTTCAATTGATTATCACTAATGAATTGTATTGATAATAATAATACCTCATCGACTCGGGAACTATTTATATTTGAAATCGATGCTAGGTTCGCAATTTACCGCAATGGGAATGGCCGTTATCTTTCGATATTTCTTATACCTACGTATTATCGCACGGTATGCGTTTATTTGCAAATTTTAAAGGAACTGACGTCTACGAACTCCGCTGATCTGTTCGAAACTACAATGCACTGGATGTTTTAATTTAGAAAAGTTGCTTTATGCTAAAGGATCTTGAAATGAACTAGAGTTTGAGTGATGTTAATTCATAGGCATTTGTACTTCTTGACAATTTGTTTGGAGTAGATGAAAATCGCAGGAGTCCCTCAACTCACAAGGTGAGACTCAGAAGGTCTCTTTTTTGACTTATCATTCAAATCTCAAAAACGGTACGTCACAGCAGAAAGGTCAATCCATTCAAAATTGTCTACAACATCGTATCAGTAGGTTTTTTCCCTATCTTCCATTGTTTTCGAGATATTAGCTAGCGAATCATGTGGAATTTTGAAAATCTCCTTTTTAGTTTTTGTCTATTTTTGTTTATTCTTCATCTTCTTGTTTGCCGACAATTAATAGCACTATAGGTACCTAAAAGCTATACATATATGATTTCTTCCTTTTTATTATTATTATCCTTATTCAATCCCGGGTATATATAGTAACGAGTATACACTTTTGTATATATGGCTAGGTATATATTCATCGCTATGTATGAATTTTTGTTTCACTTAGATTTAGTTTCTGTTTGTATTTCTTCTACAATAAATAAAATTGATAGTCACGACTCATAGCTTTTAGGATATCAAAACGTGTGAAAAGGGAAATAAAAAATCCAGGTCTGTAGGTATTTGAAATGAATAAGCTGATACCGAATGGTTTCTAGAAGACAAAACGTCAGGTTTCAAATTTGAAAACGCCAACTTTCAGGGGAGAAAAAATGATCATGATAATGTGTCATTCATGTCCGAATGATTTTTTCAAATTAATAAAAAAAACTGAATGATTTGAGGCAATTTGCTTTTTTTACGTTAATCTCCAAAAGTATTCGGAATTTTCCAAGTTTCTAAACGACATTATTGTTATGCGTAAAAAAGATGAATCGTTTAACTAACAAAATGTTAGAGTACCTAACAAAAATGTTGTCATTGTGACAAAACTTTTGTTACTTCATGTGCAGAGATAGAACAAAATATTTTGTTGATTCAATGAAACCTTTTTCTCTGTGTTGTCATCATTCCTCAATTTCGAAATCTCCAGGTGATGTCAGACAGCAACTGCAATGTAGACGTGGACAAAATCCTGGAAACCCTCTTGGACCCATCGACAGATCCCTCTATCCAGATCAAAGCCTTGCGCTCCAGCCTGGTGAGGAAGCTGCAGGAGGCCCTTGACAAGCTGGAAGAGGAGAACGAGGAGAGGCAGCGCATCCTGGCGACGCTTTCCAGATGGAACAACCTGCCGGAGAGCAAAAGGAACCTGGAATCGCTCGCCAGGGCAGGGTATATCAAAACCTTGCCTGATGAGGAGGAGGACGCTAACTACAAGAGGAGTATCGCTAATCTGGCAAAAAACGGGCAGCTTCCAATGCGACAAGACGATCAAAAGCGTGGTGAGTACATTGAATTGTTTTTTCAGCCATTTTCTGGCTGTCCTATTATATTTATATTATATTATATATAATATTGTCTGTTCAGTGAAAAAATGCGAAAATCGCCCTTATCGACATTTTCTGTGAGCTAGCTAGCTCCTAACTCTAGAAATCAGTGGTTACTGCTAGGCAAGTATAGATCCTCATGGGCCCTCTTCGCTAACCCCTGCTCTTACATATTTACAAGTGCTCCTTCTAGTTGTCCTTTCTGTTCCTCCCTGACCTTCTGATGGAAGTCAGGATGTTCATCCAATAATGGGCGTGTACACCTTTGTAGAACTTTTAACTCGAACTATGTTTATAATGATCCTTTCATACATAAATAATGATTGACGACATAATTCGATCGCAAAATTAACTGGAATGTTTTATTTTTGGACATAAATAATAGTACCTTCTGAAAACGGACCCTCTTATGACGTAGAAACCTCATCTCGTCATAGTTAAAAGACAATACCAAACGCCCGACGGAGACTGAGGCAACTGATATATTAATTCTTTCAACTGTGATCTCGCGCTAATTCACTCTGTCAGAAATCATGTATCATTCATCTCTGTCTGGAATAGTCTTGTTTCAGTATTAGGGTTTTGACGTCACATCATCTCCTCGTTTTCAGAGGTTCGAAAAATCGGGGATATCAATAATTTTTTATAAAACGTAGGGAGCTCGCAGCAAGTAACGGTTTGCAGTGGTGAGCTAGTTTGGGTGAGTTCTATCGAATTATGAAATACAATTTTTTTGTGATATAAGCCCATTCGGGTCGGCAAACTGAGACGTAGGTACAATCTGAATCTAGTCTGAAAATAGCTGATGGTGAAGAATATAGCTAGCGAATACCTTACGAATAGCTAACTAATGACAGACGATTGAAAAAAATAGGAAAAGAAGCAAAACTGGTAAACAAAAACATAGATAACCACAAATGCACTCGAAGCAGGAATGGAGAAGGTAGTTGACTTCATTCTGACAGGTTATGGTTTTGTTATTTATGCATTTAAATATGTCCAATAGAGCTCGATACTAAACGGAAATATCATTGAATCAATGAATCACTATCGGCTACATTCAATGATACTACGTTTCCTAATTTACTGCCATCGGTCAGAACAGAATGAAGCCGACACCAATGGCTCCTTCTTCTTGTTGTGCCTGTCTGTATTTTGAGTGGTGTGGAAGGACTCGAGCTGTGATATAGTTATTATGCATTCAAAGAACAATTTCCGGAAATCTAGACATACTGATGACGTCGGCAACGTCGTACTGGCATAGGGAATCGTATTTTAACTCTGTGTGAATGAAGATTTTCAGAAAGTAAGTCATTGAAATGGAATGGAAGTTCCTCTTTTATTTATTTTTTTCTGAATTGAAATTTGATCTTACGAGAAAAAGAAAAAAAAACGTATATATTATATTTTACAAACTCCACATCAGTGAGATGAAAACCTCATTATAGGAAAGTTCTCCGTATTCGGGTGGGATATTTTCAAGATGAAATGATATTTTTATCAGATAGAGGACGCGATTACTCATTGTAGGTATTTCTTTTTAATATGTATCCATTTTTTTCTCATGTTCATAATACATCTGAGAATATTCCTTTTCAATGAAGGCTCTATTTGATTATTTCTCACATGAAAAAGTTAGTAGATGTTTAGATGAAACTATTATTAGTGAATCAGTTACAAATATACTTCTTATTACTTGTATACTGTTCTATGGGTTTCCTTGTTTGGGTTATAAGGAACTGAAGAGTTCAAAATAAAAGGAATCAAATTAGGAATTTTAGAGAATGCAAGAATCTTCATCGATCTTTCTGAAGCCCTATAATTTTCAAAGGAACTGAGGAATAACCAGATATACTTTAAAATATCGCTGATAAATCATACTTATTTTCCTTTCAAGCACTGATTGGTTTTTCTTAGGAAGGCTTCTATGGGAGCGATGTTTCAGATTTTTTGTGTTGTTTTCAGTTTCTTTGACATACACGTGTTCCATTATGTATAACGGGAAAATGTAAAAAGGTAAGCTCTATGAATGCTAAAAGAAATGATTTCTATATTATTAAACCCAATTTTTATTCGAGGTAGTATTTCATTATGAATCAAGGATATTTTTATAGCATTGTTCTAGAGCTAAAGGGGATATCTCCATGAGTCATTGCGATTTTATACGATTTTATATACATCATATATAAAGTACTAAAAGTAACATGATTCTGAAAATTCGAAGGGATGGTGAAAGAAGCTCGGAAAGAAGCATGAATAATCCAACTGAAATATTTTCAGTGTTCCGTTTCTTCCAGAAGTGACGTCATCATTGTTATTTTCAATAAGACACCCTGAATTTCGATGAATTCCTCTCTTGAATGTTTCTGATTCTGATTTTTTCATCATACTCTATACCTGAATTGAACGTTTTTCAGTTATTAGAAAAAGTGACAAATGCAGCCTCTATAACTTTTACCATAATCACAATTTTTTTCTTCATTATATTTTTGTATTGCACAATAGAATCGGGACTTTTAGGACCATCTCATAATAACCCTCATGTGAATCAAAAATATTCTGAAATTTTGATCAAAAAGGTCAATATTTTCCTAAATTTTTTTCAACTGTATCAAACAGAAAAATCAAGTGATAATCGCTTGATGACAGTTTAACAAAAGGTATTGCCCTGATGCCCTGTATGTTTTAGAATTCCAAATAATGAATAGGGGATCAATAGAGGTTTGTCAAACAATGAAACAATGCCAATTATTTTTTTTCGAAAACGGGTTAGGTATACCATCTCTATTTTATCGCTTGATAGAGGAGTACAAAACGTTTTTGAGATAAATATCCTTTTGGTGTGGAAGATGATACATTTTTATCATTTCAAAAATCCAGAGAACTCATGAAAAAATAGTAGATTACGGCGGACGGATTAAGAAGAAGTCTAGTCACATGGTTTATGAACTATTTTAAGCACTTCAGGAGTGGAAAACTAAAAATAGAATAATCATTGAAATAATAAAGAATTCCCCCGTACACTCGTAGTTTTTGTTGACATCGGAAAGTGTTGTCCCTTGAAAATGTTGCTATGACGTTTGAGAAAGAAATAACAATATTCATTTTTAATCCCTAATAAGAGATTGTAAGTGCAATTTTGGAAAAGGTCAAAAGTACCATATTATTCCCTGAAGTGCATAATAGTTATTTATGTATTAAGGGAATTATGAGGGCCTTAATTACCGATGGCAAAGTTTGCGTCCCGAGGGCCTCTGGCCCGAGGGACAGCAATTGCCTGAGGTTATTGAGGCTCAGTAATTCTCGTGATACATAGATAATTTTATTTCTGACTGATTTCATTCATTAGTTACCTTCCCGATTGGAAGTTAGACATGTTTTTCCGTATAGTTTCAATGTCATCAGAACGTCAGATGATGATCTTGACTACCGCGAATAGGAGATTCCGTATTGCTACGTTACTGCGTGGTTGTTGCTATGCATTTCTTATTTGATTTTAGTTAGAGGGAATTATAGCATCTATAACATCCCAAGGGAGTTATGACCCTCATAATAGATATCGTAACTATGACGATATAAGCTTATAATGTCACTGTCAGAAATAAAATCACTTTCATACCGTCCTTCAACACGTGACATGTGGAAGCAATATTTTCTATGAGGATATAAACAAAGTATTGCAAAGAAGTAAAATGTAGTCGACATATCGAGAAGTATCGTGTACTTCATTTAATGATTTTTCATCAAATAATTAGGCAAATATATTCATCAATAATAAGGTATTGTATATTGTTTAACGAGCACGGAATGATACTGATTTCTCACGAGAATGAAATTTGCAGCATGAGCCATTGGCGATTGCTGCAATCATTCGAGTAGGAAATTAGTATTCCGAGCAAGTCATAAACTATAGTTTTTCTACGACTGTAACAGATGACAGCGGAATTTTCGATATCTTCGGCTTGTCAACTGTCAAATCGCCTGTCAAGAGATCTGTCAAGTAATAACACAATGAAGTCATTGTGATATCTGATACGGAAATAATATTGATGACATACAAAGTACCTCATTGATGTATCGAACACAGTAAAACAAGAGCAATTTTATGTTAAAGCCGTAGAAAAAACGTAATTGTTGTCACATAAAGTTTGTAGTTCAATAATAGATATTATAGAATCGCTGTTAAACTTCTTTTATTTATATAATATGGCACAAAAGATCACACACAAAAATCACGATTATCAAGCAGCTATCAACAGTTTCAAAGATATCTCCACCCAAAAGACAATTAAATTATTTTTTGCACACTCCCACCATCAGCTCCGTAGTACGACAAACTCCCACCTTGGAAAGCTTGCCTCAGCAACCGCACTACCTCGTCACGTGACAACTCCTTCTCGCTAGTCTTCAAGCACCTCATGAACACCTCGTAGGCCCCTTTCTTCTTCGTCGAAGTCCTTCCGTTTGCTACCTTAGTCATTGGATTCTGGTCACGAAGGCTCGTATTGTTGTAGTCATAAGAAACCATTTCACTACCGACCCGAAAAACACTGGATGACCCTTGATTTAGTGTTATTTCCGCGCTTATTTCGTGGTTTCAGGCACAGACTGTGTGACGCTGCAACGTTTTTAGAACACTGAAAGCTTGCTACATGTTCAATTAAAATCAGTCATAATAATATCTCGTTTGGGAACAGACCAGATGGTCGTTTCGTGTAATACTCTACTCCCTCAATTGATATGACGTGCGGGCAATATTACGAAGCGAGGGTGAAACGTGAATACACGGCTGCATCCATGAGCGTCGCAACTGCAGACTAAGGGGGGCCATGATACTAAAACCAAGAAAAAAATATATGATCACTCAGCGTACGCGTTTTGATCAGCTACGCGCATGACGTCTTGGCGTAGGTCAGTAAATCGTATCTTTTGGAGCAATTTATTGAACTCTTTGATGATTTCGTTATGATTGGATTACGATGGACCTATTATTCGGGGATTAGGTATCTCAGAATTATATTTTTGATGAATCAGATATTATGAAATGAGAAAATAAACAATATTACAACGCTTTATTTCACCGGATGTCATTATTAATAAGGACACTAGCTGTTCATCATTTCATGTAAGTATTGTTCGAAAAAGAAAGAGACTGATACCTATATACTTACTGCAAAGTATTTGTTTTTCGAGAATTCCATTCAAAAGATCGAGAATGCATCTCTGTAGTCAATTTTCATAATTTTTTTTCAATTCAATTTTCATAATATTGTGAATCCACAATTCAATAAAAGAAATCATATATGTAAAACATGATTTTCTGGGGAAAGCTCAAATAAAACATATTTTTTATTCAACTACTTTTGTCATTTTACGTTTTTGAATGTTGAATGTGTCATTAATATGTTTGTTGAGGATTCTCATTTTGAAATACATTTCACATAATGAAAAAAAAAATTTTTGGCATCATCACTCAAATTAATAGTCTCGGCTAATTTAGACAAATCCATTATATATAGATAATTTTTCCCAATTTTTAAAGAAGTTCCGTTATATATTGGTTGAATAATTGGTCTAACTCGTTGCATTTCGTTAGGCATTCTAAGTTAGACTTTTGTAATCCACCTTCAGTCAAATGATTCGTCCATGCTGAGATATAATCTCTGGTCCATGAAAAAAAAGTATCGTTAAAATCTGGAATGAATCCTAGTTTTTCTTTCTTTCTCAACTTGAATGCAATAGAGCCACCCAAAGTTTCCAGACCATCCCAGCGTAACTCATCCATATTTTTATCTGCAATTGCATCTTCACAAACAACTTCTTTTTGTTGAAAAGGAATATTCTCAGATAAATTATGAACATACAAAAATGGATATATATTTATATAAAGCAATACATTGAGAATTCGCATTCTCTATGTGATGAGAATATTTACTCTTTCTCAGTTGATTCAATAGAAAACAACTACTTTCCTGGCTATATGCCACGACGAACATTGAATTATATCTATTTAACACACACGATAAGAGTTTGAAAATAAAATATAAAAACTTCTGAAATTGAGAATTTGCATTCTCCTTCAGATAAAAATATGTATATGCACACATCATTCTGAATATTCAACAGAAAACAACTACTTTCCTGGCTATTTGCCTCGTCGAACATTGAATTATATCTGATGAACATTCAAAAGGAGAACATAAAAATTCAGAATTTCTTTCCACGCCCTGTATGATGAATGTCAATTTATCATACACCCAAAAGCAACTTCTTTTTCTCTAACTTTTTCTCTCAATCGGAAATCATCGTCTGAAAAATGCTGGGAACATACTCTAGTAGTTTTTATGTTGAATGTATGCTTCTGGTTACATTTCTGAACCCATCATACATTGCAAATTTCTTTCGATGTTGGAAAAGTGAAGAATCGGTAACTGGTAGAATTTTTGTTCTTTATATGGTTGTTACTCGAACAACCTACCACAGCACAATAAACCATCGTTTTTTATAAAAAATCACACCAAACTGATGTAAACAAACCAGCCGAAATTTGTCACGTGGTGACGTATGCGGTGCGAGAGAGACAGGAAATGAATATGCGCGTAAGCTTACCTTCTTTGGTTTTAGTATCATGTTTGAGAGCTAGATCGCCCAAGGTTGGTAGAACTGATGATTATTTTGTAGAGGAAGGTTGTCTCGATCGCATCCACCGAGTTATAGACTAATCTAGACCGCCAATTGAATGAGGAAAAAGGTGAGCCACCTAGGAGTTCGAACTGGTGAAACTGGAACCATATACATAAAGTAGTGAGAAACGAATGAAATATGCCGTATTGAGGTCTCAAAGCTTCCAAATACTCATATTTGAGTACTTTATTCCAAAAACGGCAAATTTGCATGTGGCTTCAATGTCCTGGATTTGCCTGCAAGCATCAGAAAACTGTCTGTTAGCGTAAAATTGGCTGAACATGATTATCCTTCCTGAATGGCTAGGGGCCGATGGTCTCCTAATAGCCTCAAAAAAATTTGTTCTCTTATTCTTAGGAATTCGAGAATCATCATTGAATGAGTAAACTTTTAATCCAAAGTCGTATGGCTCCTCATGCCTGAACTCAATTTTTTCACAGCTGAATGAATATAAAAAAATGCATGATTCCATTCGATGTAAATACTTGCTCGACTGATGTAATCAAATTAAAATAATAAATTATTCATCACCCACAAACTCACTGATGGAGAGAAACATCTTTAGTATTATTAATCGTGAAATTCTTACACCAAAGAACAAAGTGCTTTCTATGATTGGCGATAATTGAACGACAAATTCGATATCTCCACTCAATTTCCATTATATTTTCATTAAGTAAACCCCAGATGACATAAACAAAACACTTAAAACTGAGTTTCAATCTTCTCCTGGAGATGCTAACATAGTTAGCGAAACACGTGTCGAGGTGTAAGAATTCGGTTTGGTTAGTGTTAAAACAGTGTGTAGTGTGATTTTGACTTGCATTACACATGGTAGCTCTGTGTCTCAGCAATTTTGGGACACCCTTCACAGGGACTCCCACACAACCATGAAATAAATGCATGGTCCTTCGTGGTGCCAATTTCAAGGATTTTACTACCTCCGAAAAAAAAACTTCAAGCCAGGCTGTGTGCACTACATGTTCTGTCTCTGGGAACTGGAATAACTCCACCATTTATATTTTGTCCATGTTTATTCCAGGTATAGAGACTTTAGCCAGAAATGGAGATTACCACATGAGGGGAGATATACAGAACGTCCTCAACAACCAGATGATGGGGAAGAGGACCCTGGGGAGTTTGGAGAAGAACTTCTATCTACCTTACAACGGGAAGAGATCATTGAGTAGTTTGGCCAAGGCAGGGGATCTGAGGTTTACGGAGATGCCTCCCAAAAGGAACCTGGCTTCCCTAGTACGAGATGGATTGTATCCAGGTGAATCCAATTATCAGAATTATCAGTGTCTAAACATGTTTCGTACTATCAATAGTCCATCATCAACAGAAGCATTTGAAGACAATTTGTGAAAATGATGAATAGGGGGCAACAAAAATATTATACAATATGAAATGACATTTTTTTATAATTGATGGAGGGCAAAGTGCCTATGGCCCAAAGGTCTTCATACTTGGATGAACAAGCGTTGGTATATACCCTCTATAAAGCCCTTTGGGCCATGGGCACTTTGCCCTCCATTGATTGAAAAAAAATGTCATTTCATATTAGTTGCGTTTTATTTCTTCCATTCTGGTAACGGTGGTGGGAACAGAATGACGTTTTTAAAGAGAACGACTAAAACGAGAAGCCTTATGTACTCCCTTCTCTTTGAAATTCCATGATGGACTTCTACCATAGAGAATCTAATTATGGTTGGCTAGAAGTGAAAAGTAGAAATTTCGTTGAAGAGCTCAACAGAGATTCAAGAAAAATAAAGTTCGAAAGTTTGAATCGATACTAAGTATAGTCATAGTTAATTCAACAAAATACGAAATTTTATTGTGCTAATCTCCACAACTTTGAATTGTGGAACTGGGAAAGGCATTTGAGATCAACAGAATCTGGATTCAGCACCTCAATTCATTTATAGATTAAAAAATGTCAGGAAAAGTAGGTACCATCTATTGTTGTATGACAACAAAATCAGTTTGTCTAATTCGTTGAAGAATAGGTACCTACGTAATGAATGAATAATACATTCATTTCTATTGGTAGCTGTGATGAATCAATAATTCACTATTTAGTGAGATGAACAGCGTTGCCGTCTCAACCGATCCTTCGGCTTGTTCGTTTATTTTAACATTCATATCTCTCTCAAGATTCAACTGATTTAAACAAATCATGGATGAACTGGGCAAGACAGTTCAAAACTCTTCTCTTGATATTTCATAAACTGAATTGTGACAGATTATGACAGGGTGTTATTTAAGTATGTGGTCAAACTTCAAGGAGAGAATATTTTGATTGTTCTAAGACGAACAGTTTTTGAAAAAAACCGACTTCCGGTCTAAAAGCGCCTCTTCCAGTCTAGACCTGGAGACGTAATATGGACCGTTCAATAGCCCCCTCAGTGCCTTACAATATTTGTCTGGAACTTTTTTCGAAATAATCGAGTCCAACCGAAATTTAATTTTGTCTCAAGATAAATTTGAGATTCATTAAATTGCTAAGTATACCAGAATCGTTCAGTTAGATTGTTTAAACCATCATAACATAGGCTGAAGATGGACAGTGCATATGTCCGAAATAAGTTCCTAATTCGAGTCGTTTTCTCATTGAATATATATTATAATAATAGCTGGTAAACATGAATACAATATACAATGATGACCGTGATACTAATAATATCGATTTGACTCTATCACATGATAAAAAGACTGGTAATACAAGTGATAATGACGTCAGGACTAAATAGAACGCTATGTTCTATCTATGTGAGATAAAACAATTTTTATCAAAATAACTTGAATTTGTGTGACTTGCCAAAAAGTTCAATCAACTGAAGAATAAAAATTCCATTTGTCTATGTGAGATAAAACAATTTTTATCAAAATATCTTGAATTTGTGTGACTTGCCAAAAAGTTCAATCAACTGAAGAATAAAAATTCCATTTGTCAAATGATAAACTAACAAGTTAGATCAACAAATACTGATGAAGCTATGTTTTCGGTCAATAATAAAATAAACATGAACGAATATGGAATTAACTTTTTTCCATTTATTCAGCCTCTGTTTTCCACATTAGAATTAAAATAAGAGTTATAATACTACTCAAACAATGCAATACTCTTCTGAAAATAATAATAATGATTTCTATATATCTATTGTTCCAAGTGCCAGTATTGAATGAGAATTCTCAATAACTATACAGGGTTGGGCATAATATTCATTTTCTTATTTTTTTCAAAGCTTCTATTAATTTTTCTGTTCGACTCAGTGGCCACTGTTGATTTTTGATAGCTATATATATCATTGTCGTGAATATGGCTCAGCAGTTTTTATACCCTGAATGTAAATATTCTTCCGGGCTGCCATTTTTCTAACTTATATTGAGATGAAGTGTGACTTGTCTATGTTTGGCTGTTGCCTTATGGTATTTGAGTTATACTCGTTTATTTGTTACAAAACTGTAGACCTTCGGCTGCTTAACAATAACTTAACCTATCAGCGAATCACCTGAAGCAATAAAAAAAAATCTAATGAAGGTTCGTCGTTCTGGGGACCTGTTGAGAGATTAGGTTACTGGCAAGCAGAAGAAGGTCTACTATTGATTTTTTTTATAATTTCCCGAATGAAACTCGAATATCAGACATTTTTTATCATCAATTATCATTTTATCTTATATTTCTGCAAACACCATTCAAAGACATGCCAAACCCTATATCAATGTTAGTAGAAAGAACAACTACCCGAAAAAATATTTACATACAGGGTGATCCATTAAAAAAAGCTGCTGACTGAGTAAAACAAAAAAATATATGAAAGTCTTGTTACAAAACAAAAATTTATTTGTTTCTCGTGATTCTTCTAGGACCCCGCTTTGTGAGAAACTTTTACTATCCCAACGAAGCTACTGAACAACCCGAAAATCTGGCAGACAAAAGGAACCTCCAGGCTCTTAAAGCCCAAAGCAAACAGTTCAAAAGGTCAACCAAGGTTCGAACCAAAAGAGAAATAGACTACGAAAACGAAGAATACCCTTCACCCTACGACTACGACGATTTGGTTCAGGATCTGAATTCACTGTATCCTGTTTCAGATAAGAGATTCTTGGGTAAGTACGTCCACTCAGTGCTAAGTCATAAATGGAAAAGTGCATCAGAATGAAGCCAAATAATATTAAATACTGTCTGTAGGTTTATCGAGGAGGTGGTAAATTTATTATTCCAAATTTTTTGGGATTTTCTCACCTTGTTTCTGTAAAATAAAAATATAAATATTATTTCGATATACGTGTAGTAAGGACAAATCAGATGATTTGCTTCAAAATGTCACTGCGTTTATAGTTATTTAACCTACTAGTGTATTAATGAGGGCGATTAATGATCGAGATATTTTAACGTGCGAGCGAAGCGAGTCCATATAAATCCAAAATTTTTTATTTTATTTTTGTGAGCTATTCAAACACGTTCTCTACATAGTTTTCGAAGAGAAAATGATGTTCAAAATTGGAAGAGAAATACAAATTTCAGTGGCGATCAAAATTTAATAGAGGAGTACCTCATGGTCAAAATTTCGACATTGATCTATAGAAATACTAAAATAAAATTGAAATACTAAAATTATCGATGATATTATTGTCATTCTGAATACAGTTCAGAGTCGTAATAAAATATGACACAGAATTAAGTCATAAACATGCAAATTGAAAAAAATGATAATGCCTGTATATCTAGATATAGACGCAATCATACGTATTATAGGCAAAATTGAACTCTTATTGTTACGTAACCGTACGTAATAACTATACGTCCAAATTTTTTGTTTTTTGTGTCTACGAGATGGGAATCTATCTTTCACTCAAGATATTTCTAAAACTAAACCATATACATATATCAACTTCAGGGTACTGAACTAGTGCTAGTTGGACATAAATTACGTAGTAGGACCCGATTGGGTTTAAATTTTTTACATGAATTGAACTCAAAAGCTTCAACAAGTAGCCCTTTGAACGAAACCAATAACAGGACCGGAATATTATTTTTTTCCTATATGTTGATTTATTGTGAAAATAATTCACCTTATATGATAATTATCAAAAATCTGAGGTCATATCACGAATCTATGGGAAAATACTATAGGAACCTTCGAGAAAGTTTCTAGCAGAATATCAGTCATTCCGTAATAAATTATCATTTAATTATTTTTTTCATCATTTGGCGGATAAAACATCAGCAAAAATGGAAATATAATGAATATTCACGAAACTAAAATAAAATTATCATTATTCTCTTCGATAACTTCGTAGATATATTTTATAATTCACTTTAGTGACCTAAAAAAAGAAGAATATATTCGCTTCAGGACCGGAATGACTCTTTTCCATGTTCTTGTAAGTATAATGTGTCCCTAAAAAGACTGGACAGAATTTTAGCACATAGTCCTGAGGTCTGGATAAGCCAATTTTCGAACGTTTTACTTCAAAAATTAGTATCCGGGCGCTTACCAAAGCACTTCTCATGGTTCAGAATGACCATAACTTTTTTCTCAGTGTACTTTTCTACTTTTTTTGTTGATGAAAATGACTTTCTGAACATTTTCAAGCAAGAAAGTTAATAAAATTCAATACTGAAAACTTCAAGTAATTACGTTGATTATCTTGGAATAGTTTATCGAGTGTGGATTTCTTTGCTACAGGGGTTCCAAAGAAATTAATATGTTTGTATGTATGTATGTAATAATGTTTTTGTTTTTCGCATTTTTGACACCCTATATCTCAGAGAGGATGTTTTGTAGGACATACGTCGTTGATGGGAACTTTTGAACTCAAAATGAGGTTGTCACTATGAAAGAACATTTTCCCAATGCTAATTAAAATCTAGTAGTCATGACCATGACAGATTATGACGTCGTTATTGATAAATACCACCTAGATTCGAATGCCATTCCTGCGAATCTAGCACTCTAGGTCTTTCATGATTTATGGTGAACATATTGTGCGCATCCACCATATTCTACAACGCCAAGCTTGGGCGCATTCACCATTTATTCAAATTGTTGAGGAATTTGTTCGATTTGGGGTCTTTCAAAACAAAATTTCCTATGAGAACAACAACTACAACGAAGTTTCTTGAATCAGTCCCCTGCCTTCATTTCAACATATATTTTTGTTATTCAATGTGAAAAGCTTCAGGAACGATAAGATTTACACAGAATTTTTAAAATCACAAGTTTACTCGTGCAACATAAATCAAGCATTGATTTGCCTAACTCATATACAGGTAGAATAAACGTTTACTCAGGGAGGTAATTCTATATACAAGGTGTCCCAGAACAATGTATCATAAATTCTACAGAATGTACCGTTGAGCAGTGAATGGGCGATGAAGTAATATTTTATTTCAGGATTTTCTTCAATATTTCGAAATCCTCAAAAGGTACTGCTCTAAAATTCATAGGACAATTCACTATAGTGAATGTGCATGGAGAACACGTCGTAATACCAATTCAATCAATATACAGGAAGTTAGGTATTTCGCATTCTCTTTGATGAAAATTAATACATCTTTTTTGGATTACGGCACTGACCTCATTTTGATATCTCAATAAATGACAAAATCAATTATCGCACTTTTTTGCAACTGCAGTTTTTGTATAAATTTTCTAGGTTCCTTGGCAAGCTATCACTCTCCTTACATCTCTTGCTATACCTATAATTGATTGACAGAGCAGAAAATTTATTGAAAGCACGTATTACATTTTCATACTTGATCAGTGAAGGAGCTTATAGCTTATGTAACGTGAATTATTCGTGATAAGGTTGAAAATAATATATTTCTTGGCATGAAATAAATTGGCTTTCCTCTCCTACCTCTTTCTTTCTCAGGATTATGAATTCTCAAATATCTTGCGAACCAGAACGAAATATCAAAAGTGATCAGAAATGTCGAATTGAGGTAGAGTTGGAAATTTTTCCGAATTCAAGTCAGTGGTGCACTGAAATACAGTTTTATAAATAGTTGAAGTGGAAACTTGGGGAGTCGTTAATCTATGGGCGCCATCACCACTTTTTTGGGGGAAGAAAAACATTGGATTTCGCGTCATTGTCACGTTTCTTATGCTTTCACGCCAATACTACTCAACCGATTATCATGAAACTTCGTATACAAATTCTTAGATGTATTAGGAAGGATTCTTTTTATCAAGACAGTTCAAGATGTCTGATCCAATATGGCGGACGAGTATTGTAATTATAATCCGACCGATTCAAAGTTGATATCTAGGAGTTTTCAGGGTCGTAGATTATGATTCCTTCATCAAAACTTGATAATTCAAGATAGCGGAGTCAATATGGCGGATGAGTTTTGAAATTATGATACAATATTCTATTCAAAATTTGTATCTGGGTGGTTTCGAGGTCGGAGATTATGATTCCATCATCAAAATCGGGAAATTCAAGGTTGCAGAACCAATATGGCGGACGAGTTTTATAATTATGATCCGATTCCATTCAAAATATTCATCTGGGGTTTTCGGGGTCGGAGATTATGAATCATTCGACAAAATTGGGAGATCCAAGCGAACTAAAACGAAATAGCAAAATAATAATTTGATAGCTCGACGATACAATTCACATATAGCTTAGTTTTTACTTCAATCAGCAGTCCCAAAGACTGCCCCTTCACTTATTTTATATCAACAGTAGGTATACCTTATATACAGTGTGTCTCACTTTTAACGGAAACATCCTTGTATCTTTCGTATTCGTTGGATAAGGATCCTGAAATTTGCTGGAGCGACCCAGGTAGCACATCATATTGGCTGGAACCCGATTTCATATTGGGCCGATATAGATATATCGTACATGTGAAAAATAATATAGGTCCAATATGAGAGTATATTGGACAAACAATATTGGAATGATAATATTGGTGGAATATTGGTTCAACCTGAGCTGAATATGGATTGTCAGCTACAATATTGGAGCAATATAGGTTGTAAAATTCGTTAACAATGTGTTGAAAAACATATCTATGAATGTTATATAATATTGTTTTACGAATGTCGATACAACAACATCGTATACATATTGTTCCCGACATTTACAACCAATATTGCAATTTGAACATTCTCCCCATGTCGATTTTGAAGCGGTTATGCAATATTGTATATGCAAGTTGAACGGCATAACGGTTGGATATTGTTTCAACAATATTTGAATTATTATGTTTACCCATCTTGATTGATATCATTGTATCTATATCATGCGGAAGATATCGTATACAATTTGCTTCTTACATTTATAACCAATATCGCGATTTGAATATTGTCCCCATGTTGATTCTGAAGCGGTTGAGCAATATTGTATATTTGAGTTCGACGGCATATTGGTTGAATATTGTTTCGACAATATTCGAAATATCATATTCACCTATCTTGATTAATATCATTCTATCCATATCATGTGGAAGATATCGTATACATATTGTTTCCAACAATTATAACCAATATCGCAATTTGAACATTCCCCCCATGTCAATTCTGAAGCGGTTATGAAATATTGTATGTTCGAGTTCGACGGCATATTGGTAGAATATTGTTTCAACAATATTTGGAACATAAAATTTACCAATATTGACATATCATTCCAACTATATCGTGCGGAAGATATCGCACACATATTGTTTTCAACAACTATAACCAATATCGCAATTCAAACATTCTCCCCATGTCGATTCTGAAGCGGATATACAATATTGTGTAATCGGATTCGACGGCAAATTGGAAGAATATTGTTTCAATTGATATCATGCGGAAAATATCTCATACATATTGTTTCCAGCAATCATGACCAATATCGCAATTTGAACATTCTCCCCATGTCGATTCTGAAGGGGTTTTCAATGATTCAAATATGAATATCAATAACAGCAATTCAATATATATCTTATATCGGATATAGAAGAGAAAAACAATATTGTAATTTCAAGTTCAATTGCATATCGGCTGAATAGTTTTCTAGCAATATTCAGAAAATAATATCATCTTATATTGGCTGATATGTGATTCACTATATCATGTGAGCAATATTGTTCACATATTGTTTTGAGAATACATATCGATATCGAAATTTGGATATTCATTCCATAATACGCACTCCCAAATCGATGTCGATAGATGGCGCTATAAATGATTGGTAACGTACTCCCATTGCCAATCAGACGAGAGAATATAAATATTAGCTCTAGACGATTGTAAAGTATTATAACCTGGAGTAGAGGTTAACCGTGATCAACTAGGAGGCTTTCCCAATGCAAGGCCCTTCCATTGCACTCCGGCTGGGCTGACCTTTGTGATTATTCCTGATGCGAATAACTCGCAAATATTGGTAAGAAAATATTCCACCAATATTTTGAAGACAACATAGATACATAATGATTTTCAATAATGTACCTATATTTCCAACCAATATTGCACCAGTATTGTAAAATGTTCACTGTCCATTTATCAGCAATATTGATATCACATTTTGTGACCAATATAACTTCACGAATATTCCAGCAATATTGGTATGAGAATATTCTACCAATATTTCTGAGACAACATACCTTCATGATGATTTTCAATGATTCACCGATATTCCCATATATTACACCAATATTGCAGAATGTTCACCATTAGTTTCTCGCCAATATTGATATTACATTTTGTCTCCCATATAACTCTACGAATATTCAACCAATATTAATATGAGAATATTCTACCCACATTTGGAAACTGATATTGTACCAATATCGCCGAATGTTCACATTTTTTTTCTCGCCAATATTACTTTCACAATATTTTGCCGATATTTTCGTAATATTGCACCGATATTGTCCCAATATATGTGTGCTACTTGGGGAGAGATATACCAAAAATACACTTTATGACTGAGTGAAGTTATATCTTCAGTGATATACACTGCTCACCAACAGCCATGGAAAATGATATTAGGAGGCAAAATAGGTTGAAAATCACTTCGAGTCAAGACGCCTAATTCACTAACTATTCATATTTTTACTGAAAAAATTTCAGTTCTGAAAATTTCATTTTTGTGGAAACACATGGAAACACCCCCGTTTCTTACGTTATCATCGAGTAAGGATTTTTAAATTTCCAGGAGCAAGAAATATTCCAAAGATACAGTCAATGACCAATCGAACTTAATACACTGCTCGCTAGCAGCCATGGAACCACCACCTACAAGTCAGTTCTCATCAGGGATAATGATATAACAATCAGAACTAGTACAATCGAATTGATTATCAGGAGTGATCCAATGGATCAGAAATCATGGTGGGTGTCATTGAAATGAATTATGAATGAAATGAGTTCGTTGATACTATGAAGAAAATCGTTACCGATAATAATGCATCAAAATATGTTGAGTTACTGAATTAGACGTCCTGTTTTCTAATCCGAAGTGATTTTCAACCTATCTTGTCTCTTGATATTATTTTCCGGACATGTGTGTAGTTCCACGGCTATTGGCGAGCAGTTTATATCCCTGAAGATGACTCCACTTGGTCATAGAGTACATTTTTGGTATATCTCTGGCTCCAGCAAATTCCAGGATCCTTACCCAACGATTGGGCGCCCTGATTTCGAATCTGAAGTGATTTTCAACCTATTTTGACTCCTAATATCATTTTTCTGCAACCGACACAAAAGTCGTCGATTATGTCGATTACTGACACAAAAAGAGGTTTGTTGCTAGGCAACATATTTAGTTCCTAGGAGGTAAAGTTGAATTTTAGTTCCTAGGAGCTAAAGTTGAACTTCAGCTCCTAGGAACTAAAGCGATGTACTGGACGTCATCAAGAATAAACAACATTGTGACGGTTGGTTATTTGGGTTGAGACGCATACCTGATTTGTTTCCGATTTCAGCAGATTTGGCATTACATACCCATGCTGGAGATATAAATACACCTTATTATAGTTTAGTATTGGAATTATAAATATCTCAGTTAAGTATCTTTGTTTTGATCAGGGAAGCCTTCAAGATTCAAATACTTGCTTGATCTGTATTTCATTCGTTATTCTCGGGATGGATAACTTGTTTTGGAATAATCACGGCAAGCAATAGTTTTTTTGTCTCAAACAACGATATTGTTTAGCTTCATTAGATTATCAAGTCAAACACAGTGTGGTATGGAGAGGAATAAATAATCACTATTATCATTGTAGATATGCTCACTAACCTATCATTTTCCACGTCTTGTTCCTATAGCTGGCACTGGCGCGGTATTTGCCATTAGAGCACCTGGTCCATACACAAATATGTCACTCTGTGGTTGTATTTATATTGAAACTATAATTCGAACATCCTAGAAAACCTAACCTGCTGTTAATGCAGGTAGAATATTCTCACCCCACGGATTTTTTGTCAATATTTGTTGCATTGCATTAATATGGCACGGCATTGGTGGTTACTTCACATGTTTATTCGAGTTAATTGTTTCGGTTGCAGAAAAAATGGCATGTTTCATTCGGATCAAAAGTGACTTTGTTCGACTAGCTAATTTTGCTTTCGCTCGGCTTCGCTAAACGCTCCGCCTCGCAAATGCAAAATTCGCTTGTCAAACAAAGTGTCACTTTTGATCCTAATAAAACAATCTACTATTTTCGGACATGTGTGCAGGTCCACGGCTACTGTAGAGCAGTTTATATCACTGAAGATGACCCCTCTTGGTCATAGAGTGCATTTTTGGTATATCTCTCGCTCCAGTGAATTTTAGGATTAGGAGACACACTGTATCATAACATTTCCTGTTTGTTATTGATTTGATATAGGGTCGGTAGCGAAAACTGGATGGTTTCGACAAACCTCTAGCTATCCGAAAAACAATCCAGAAAAACGGCATATCGGAGCTTTGGCCAGATTAGGTTGGCTTCCGGCCTTCAGGCATACAAGGAGGTTCAATAGATCAGGGAGATCGACAGGCTTAGATGAACTTTGCAACAGGTTATTGATCGATGTGTAGATTCGTAGAATACAGTGTGATATTTTGAAAACTTCCTACCCTCAATTTCTTCCTTTCAGTAAATAATATGGAAAATTGAATAGACAGGTCGATTTTATTTTCAAGAAGGACACTTGAATATTGCATGTAGGTTTCTATAAAATGAAAACATATGAATATTGTTTCAATATACGTGTCATAAGTTCTACAAAATGTCACTGCGTTAAAGAAATTTTCCTGTCAGAGAGCCTAAAAGCAAAATTCACTAGCTGGTCAGTGACAATTTGTATTGAACAAGGTTTGGAGATGAGAAATAAAGGTATACAGAGGTGTGCACAAAAAACGGCTAGAGCTGTAACTTCTGAATCATTCGAGATCGAAATTTGAAATTTGGTGGGTAGCAACTATACCATATTGTTCATTTATTGACGGAAAAAAAGTATTCCATCACTTCCGGCCTAACCGGAAGTGACCCCAACTTTTGATTTTCAAATGGAACCCCCTGTATATTTCTCCATTTTTAGATTCAGGGTATCATTTCACATACACCAGTAGTTTTTCCGGATCATGTGTGAAACAGAAAGAACAACAAAATGAACTCCACATCAATCTTCATTATTTTCAGTAGCATAGAAAGAGGGGCGATAAAAAATTAATTACAACAAATGCTCAAATTGACCCCTATTTTGTGCAATGCATTGCTGACACCTTCTAGCTACACTAAAAGTTGCGTTGTGTAAAAATGCTTGGGGTATATTGCGGCAAGCCTCTAATATTCGATGCCTAAGGATTTCTATATTCTCTGACTGAAATAGATAAACTTGATCCTACAAGAAGTAACCCCAAAGGAAGAAATCCATGACTGTCTAATCTGGACTGCGAGCTGGCCACCGTATCGGTTCATTTGTTCCTATCCACCTTTCTCCAAAGTGTATATTCAAATAAGTCACATTAAAACGCGTATTGTGTGGCGGTGCTCCATCTTGTTCGAAAATGACTTCATAACGATTGGCGAGGGAAAGTTGGTCCAGAAAATTTTCAATGTAACCAGTAAGCATTTCAAAATACTTATACTGGTCTAAAGAACCGTCGATGAAAAAAGGGGCCTAGCAACATATCATCAAGAATTCCGCACCATACATTCAAGCTTAATCTTGTTTGGAAGTTGGTTTCTACATTACAATGACCACATTATTTTTCTATAAAATGCAGGATCTTGATTAAACCTATTCAAAAGATATTGCAGAAATGTGTCCTACGTTCTCTGTCATTATCGTGCTCCAAGGCGTGAATTTTGCGAGGAACGTATGGCGTGTACTTATGTTTTTTCAAAATAGAAAGAACTGGTCTTCGTGACGTACCAAAATCATTTGCAATCTTAATTGTTTATGTCCTGGGCGGTTCTTGTACACTGATTAAAACATTCAATTCCAAATCTGCATCAAACTCTCGCTGTTGTTTTTTTGGTTTCTTGGAACTACCAAATTGACCTAGATTATCTTTCAATCTGCCAAATTTCTGATGGCTAGAATGATTTCTATTCGGATATCTGTTTCTATAAAGACGAGCAGCATCGTACGAATTCTTCAAACATTCAAAATAAACTTGTAACATATCGGTTAACTCATTTTTATTCATGTTTATAAAATAGAAAATATCATCACCCGTATTGAAACTTATTATTGGATGTCACATTGAAATTTACTTACAAGGCTACCTAGATCTTGATTACTATTACCAATTAATGGGCAATGTTTAAAGATGAAAACGAATTGAAAAAATTCCTCTTGACATTTTGATCCGGAAACACTACTGGTGTAGACCGGAAGTGATGGAATGATTTTTTCCTCGTCAATCAATTAACAATATAGTATAGTTGCTACATACCAAATTTCAAATTTCGATCTCGAATGATTCAGAAGTTACAGCTCTATCCGTTTTTTGTGCACACCTCTGTATACGCAGGGTATAACATGAAGTTATAGTCATGTTGTAGCCATCTAGTGGCAAAGCTCTAAGGTAGGATCCAGAGATCGCGACACACACTGTATGGCGCTGCCATCTATAGTCACACGTCTATACGTTACAGAGTGCTACTAGTAAATCACTCTGCTGACAGATGGCACTACCTGACATACTGTAGTGGAATTTTTCCACCACCTATTCAACTGCCAGATCTCATAACGTCTTAGAAACGGGTGATATACCCGAAGCGTAGTTTTCCCAGCTGTCGGCAGACCGAGAGCGGCTGATGAGACCTGGTGGTTCGAAACAGTACTGTCTCGCTCCTGCTGATAATTGGGGAAACTCTGTTCATCCTGGATCTCTTTGTTATGAGATCTAGCAGTTGTAAAGGTATATAGAAATAATATCAAATTTTCACTTTGCTTCGGACGTTTCTGGAACGAATCTGCCCCCGTTTTCAACATAAAAAATGGATATTTGTATATAAAATTCATATTCGTCCTGACACTTCTCAATTCTCAGTGACAATTGGTGACGTCATCAATTGTCACTGAGTACTATTCATATTATTCACTAGGAAGAGAATATATTGACGGTGAGAAGTTTTCACAATATCACCCTGTATAGATAGAAAGATGATAGACAAATGTATGTTCGATGTGGAATGAAACTAGAAAGCACAAACTCTGTCCAACTGCATGTATATTTGTTCAAATAATATTTGTGAGATTAGCGGTTTCATGTTAGTTTCAGCATAGACTACAGAAGAAACTATTTCAGTAATATTTGGTTTCAATCCAATACAGACCGGTTTAATGTTTCGGGCCAGGAGCTTCTCCACTTCCGGTCAGCTGCTTATGATCTACAAGGCACAGATCCGACCTGTCCTGGAATACTGTTCCCATATTTGGAGTGCAGCACCCAAACATACCCTAAAACTGTTGGATTCTGTCCAAAAAAGGGCAATTCGTCTCGTGGGTGATGCCTCGCTCACAAACTCACTCACTTCTCTGTAACACCGTAGAAAAGTTGGCGATCTGGCTCTATTTTATAGATATTTTCATGGACGATGCTCTTCTGAAATATCAACAATTGTAACTCCCTTGGCAGTCCCCGCGAGATTAACCCGTCGAGTTGAGGCTTCGCACCCCTTCGTAGTCACTTTGGAGACCTGCAGAACATCTCTTTCCAAAGACTCGTTCATCCAACGAACAGCGAGGCTCTGGAACACATTGCCAAAGGAGGTGTTTTCCGAGGCATTCCTATACCTTATTTCCCTTGGTTCTCACGATGTTTTCTGAACATTACAGGATATTCCTTTTCGTGGGATCCAGAACATAAAAAAAATAGTTATTCAACCAACTAGTCTATTCACGAGGACAATTGAAGATAGAGACATTTATTGGTTTGAAAGTTGGGTATTCCTAGAATATTCCCTTAATATGCTAAAAATGAGGAGTATACAGCCATTATTTTTCTCATATCTTGACCTATTTTCTGTGTTAAAATCAAGGTGAAGGATTGATTGGTTTCAAAATCAGATTTTTTGAGGTATTTCCAATCGGTTTTTCCAAATTGCTTCTCTATGGAGGTATGCAAGTCAATGTTAATACAATCATTGTTTTTCTATCATACTGACCTATTTTCCCGTGGAGAAATCGAGATGGAGAATCGATTAGTTTGAAAATCAGATTTTTAAAAGTACCTATTTTCAATCGTCAATCTCAAAATTTTCTGAAAATTTTCGATTGCTTTTTACCATTCAACCGAATTCATATCTCCTATACCGTTTCCGAGGTCACCAGATACGGCCTGTTCTAGAATACTGTTCCCACATATATTATGGGGTTCAGCACCAAAACATACGCTGATGCTCTCAGATTCCATCCAGAGAAGAGCCATTCGCCTGGTGGGTGACGCCACACTCACTCATTCTTTGACATCATTGGAACACCGTAGAAAAAATCGGCGACCTTTCACTTTTATATCGATATTTCCACGGGAAATGTTCTTCGGAAATCTCTGCTATCATCCCTTCACTAGCAATACCAATCAGACAAACTAGACAAGCCCAGTCAGCACATCCTTTCGTTGTCAACCTCGAAAGATGTCGAACAGCACTTTATCAAGACTCCTTCATCCATAGAACGGCTAGGCTCTGGAATTCTAATCTCCAAAAGTTCAAAAAAAATTCCAATAATACCTACCTCCTGTCCCTATCCTCCCTAGGAACGCACGATGTTCTTTGAACATTATAGGGATTCCCTTTCGTGCGCTCCAAACGATAAAAAAAACATGCTAGCGACCCTATCTAGGTCACACTGTAGATACCCAGACAGCACGTACAAATATACTCATCTTGGAATATTCTTTTAGAATGTTCTCAGAATGATATAGAATATTCTCATTCTGCAACGAATATTCTATGAACATTCAATTCGACATATCCTCAAAATATTCTCTCTGAATATTCTTAGAATATTCATTTTGAATGTTCTGAGAATATTCAAAATCGTATCATAATATATTATATTGATGTTCCTATTATTGTATGAATATTCATTATGTTTACCCTGACACAACCTATATATTATTTTCTAGCCTCAATGCTATGATAATATCACTAACTCAGTGTTGTCATCTTGTTATTCATTTTATTTATCAATTAGATTCGTGGCGAAGTAGAGTTAAGGTTTCAGGTTCGTAAAAATGCAATCACAACTTAGTGGGTTCGCATCTCCACCAGGGCAAGCGTTTTTCAATTTTCTTCCTTCTCCTTCAATGTACTAGGAATATTGTCAGAATATTCAAAACAGTCCATTCCGATTGTTCATAGAACGTTCCTAGAATATTTGCATCATATTGTGAGAAGAATATCCTATGAACGTTCAATGAATGACATTGGGTGAATATATTGAAATAGTTTATTTTTTCTTATCCTCTGGAGTGCACGAGAGGGAATCTCTATAATTCATTAATTCAAAATTTGAAATCATAGGAAAACAAAGAATGAAAAATGTTTGATTTTCTTTTTTAGGGAGACTACCTCAGATGGGCAAACCGAAGTCGACAGTAGCACCAAAAACGAGCCGATTCCACTAAACGAAAAAAGTACTTTTTACATACCTAATAACGACAATTTCTTCTTCAGGAAAGTATTCTTCCATCCTAGATCACATTAGGAGAAACATCATAATAAGCACATGTAGTTGATATGCTATTTTTTTTCTCGACAAAAATGATCTACAATATTTTCATTAAGTACCTATCTCCAAGGCTGAATGGAGTGACGAAAAGATTTTCTATCAAAACATCATAGTACAGGGTGATTAAAAAATGGTGTTTCGAAAATATCAATCTAGTTTACACCGTTCATATCTTACCAGAATAATTATTGTAAACAGCATAAATCAAATTTCTATATGAACTATACATTTCTCTTCAATTTAGGAACATAATTTTGACAAGTACCATCTACACTATTTTTAAACACCCTGTACTTTTTACATATTTTCATTCAGATACACCATTCTTCATGAGTTCAATAGAATGAGGATACATCAAAATCAAATCTAAACCGAACATATCTCTGATTCAATTTATCATAACTATCATATCAACTATACTAGTGGGGAAAATTCTACAATCAAGAATATCACCTGATACATATTATCAATATCACTAAATACTAGTCTAGGATTAGGCCAATTGATGTGTTTCTGTCTGTGGGTGGAAAAAAATTGGGAGAAGTACATAATCTGAACCAAATACAGTGCTTCCATTTCAAAACTATAGCACTCAATCATATTTCATTTTCGCGATTTTGAGAGAGAAATATGTCGAATTATACAGGGTGAGTCATGAGGAACTGTACATACTCCTACCACGAATAGAGGTCCTTGAGGGGGATACCTAGTGACCATAAGAAAGTGTATTCTTCTCTTCTTTACCATTATACAGGGTGGATTATGAGATTTGGCAAAAAACAAACTTCTGGTCATAACTTTTCATAACTTTTCAATAGCTCCTTCGAGTCGTCTGATTCTTTCATGGAATATTTCCTCTACTAAATCCTAATCGGCTGACCTATTCAGAATCGGAAATATTTAGGACCGTTTTTGAAAAATTTCGATAGTTTAGTTTTTATCGGAAAGTTCATCCTGTATATGGTTTTTGTAAACTGTGAAGGAATTTTCGAAGTACACAAACAAGCATCGAAATAAAATATTCAAAATTCTCCTCACACTTTCACAGACTTTTTCAAAAAACTATAAATTATTAGCAAAAACGACAAATATTTTATTCATTCGAAAATAATTACTTTGCATTGCATAAATTTCACAAATAAAAGTGAGACTCACATTTTTAATGCCTTAGCCCAATGGAAATCAACATGTTCTATCATTGCTAGGCCTGAATTTCGTAATTTCATTTTTTGTGGAGGGTAAATTACCCTGTAGATCTTTTTCAAATCGGTGGATTTGGTATATGTTTAGATGCCAATGGTCATCGATTCAAATAATTCAAGATAGTCGAACAGAAAATAAATGTTTACTCACAATTATGTTTCAAAAGCACTAACAAAGGCGGATACTAATTCTAGTACGGAAAATAAATCGAATAGATAAAACTGTGAATTGAGATCATGAAATTATTCATGGCGATGGCCATCAACATTTTCACATTATACCTCATCCACTGATTCGAAAAAGATCCATGCACAAAAAAAATGAATTATGAAATCCAGGCCTGAAAATAAAATAATATGTTGATTTCCATTGAGCTGAAGCATTGAGAATGTGAGTATCACTTTTATTCGTGAAATTCATGGGTTGCGAAGTATTAATTTCCAAATTTCGCCAAATTTTAGTTTCTTCCTATTTATAGTTTTTTCAAACTGCAGTGGAAGTGTGAGGAAAATTCTAAATATTTTATTTTTGATGTTTGTTTGTGACCCTTGAAAATTCCCTGTCACAGTTTACAAAAACGATATACAGGATGAATTTTTTGCTATAAACTAAACTATCGAAATTTTTCAAGGACGGTCCTGGATTTTCCCAATTCTGAATAAGTCAGTCGATTAGAGAGTATCAATGGAATATCCCATGGAAAAATCAGACGAATCTAAGACGCTTTTGGAAAGTTATGACCAAAAGATGTTTTTGCCAAATCTCATAATTTGCCCTATATATTGGAAAAGAAGTGTAGAAGCCACTTTCTGATGAACATTCGGTATTCCCCTCAGGGGCCTCTAGTCGTTGTAGGAATATGTACAGTTCCTCATGACTCACCCTGTATACATAGATAAGGACTCTAATAGATTTTCACTATATACAATAATTGGTACAAAATGATAGATGAGGCCATTTTAATTTATAAAATCAGAGTGAATGTCATTAAAGATGCTATGAAGTTGGAAAATGAAAGCTCTGTATGTAAATTATTGAGGGCTGGAAAATTTAGACAATATTTTGCTGTGTGAGACAATATTTAGACGTAAGTTATAATCTCAATATGAATAAGACAATAAATGTTCGATCTGTAGACAATAATGAAAATGATATATTTACAACATTTTTGGCTGCTTAGCCACGCCTACTTGTTAATGAATTTTATTTATCATGTCTTCATGTGTGAATTATCAATAAATTTGGGACAATGAAAATGTGTTTTTATACCAGTAATCCCGTTTCAAAGTCAGGTGACTAGAAATCGTATCTCTATCTAGCTATTATACATTGTGATATACAGGGTGTCCGAAAACTGCTGAGACACCGAACTAACACGTGTAATGCAGGTCCAAATAAGTTGATTGGACCTAATTTGTTCACATAAAAAATTTACTGCATGTCCGTGAGAAGAGTTAAAATAGTATATTATGTAACAAGTGTTATAAACGTATTTTTAGTAACGAGTGTTTAATAAACGAGTGTCTAGAAGAGTTTATAAACGCGTTGCATTAAGAATTCTGATACAATCGGAAATTGTTTGAATAATTCTGATACAAAATTAGAAAAAAACAGTTGACAGTTCCTACAATTGACAGGCCAGACATGTCTCAAATTACTGAAGCTGTGTTTAATGAACTGTGTTGCCATAGTAATGTGTTTGAGAAATCGTGTTGCCATGGTAACGTGTTTAATATTTTGAATAAATCACAGATGGACAATCCGTGATTAATCGATCATTTAGCGTGGTACATATCCGTACGCTAAATGCCATTTTAGTTATGTGAGTAGAAAAAATCACATAAAGAACAACACATTTTAGTTTACTGTACAGGAATGAGTGAAACAAATTCATAGAAATTTGATCAAAGTACAATTCAGAGGATTATTCCCCTCTCAGTTATCGAAGAGATCCAAAAGGAATTCAAGAAGTATTGAAACTACCCTCACCCCCTGACATTTTTTTCAGAACATTCTTAATGCTAGTAATACAGGGTTCTCTATAATTTTTTCAACGAGAAGATAAATTAACTATGTTTACCTATCTACTCACTGCATAGAAAGTTAGCATTTGCTCCCTCATTTGAGGTCACAAACCTGTCAATGCACTCCCACGGGAGGAAAAAGTTATTACCTCCTGTGGGAGGTGAAATAAATCGGTTTCAGCATGCTTCCTTTGTAGAGATATACACATAAGATTTGTGCTTCCCAAGTACCTAATCAGTGTGTCCATCAATACTATAAAACAAATTACAATTTCATTTTCCAAATAATGATCTCATACACTTCCTCATATAACACTCAATCAAAACTTCAAATAAAATGCAATTATTACATCACAATAAACTAATTCAATGTGCCAGAAGTGTCAATGTCGAATTGATTTGCGTTCTGTAACCTTATATCATGTAAAACCTTAGATCATGTAACACATTGATTTGGATCGAGACTCGAGAGATAGACCGCTTGAAGCACACGGGAGGAAAAGAAATATTACCTTCCGTGGAAGGAGAATGAATTGGTTTTAGCTGGCTTCCAATGAAATCTTATTCCAAACTTACTCAATCGAAAATTTGAATAAAATGCAATTATAAAACTAACAAATTCGATGTGACAGAAATGTCATATTGAATTTCGTTCAGATTCAAATTCAAATAAGTACTGACAATAATTGTCCATTGCATACTACACTTTTGTAATCTTAGATCATGAAGCACAATTTCAAGAACGACGTTCTCAAATGCCTATATGCTTTCGTGTATGAAATCATATATACAGGGTGTTTCATGATATAAGTGCAGGACTTCAAGATCTGACAGCTCGTTCGAAAATATATGAAAAAGAGTTCTTAGCAACTTACCCATTGAAATGCACCATTTTCGAGATTGAAATTTGAAAAAAAACTCGTATCTTGCGAATATCTCTGTGGAAACATTTATCGCACAGGAGATAGCTTTCGTTAGCAGCTTCTACTCATAATAAGCTTTGTTTTGTGTGGATTTTTTTTTTAAAGTCATAATTGATGAACATTTCGAAGGGTTAGTGGATGTTTTTCTACCCAACTTCTACGCCACTGGAAGAAGTACAGTTTTGAGCCGCTCGTTCAAACGGCCAATGTTTTCTACACAAAAAAGATACCTGTGGTCATAAGCTCTAAAGTTGACCGTTTTCGAGAAAAATCTATACTTTCCTGTTGAAAATCATGGTGAATTTTTGGAAACAATTTTTTTTCCAATTAAACAAAATCTATTTAAACTTCAGAACAAGTAACAAAACAGAAGGTTAACTTAATATTACAAAATTGAACGAAAAACAATAGCAAATCATACTCAGTTGAATTTATAAATGTTGGAAATGACCGCGGTTAGCTTCAATACACGCAAAAAAAATTACCATGATTTTCAACATAAAAGTTGATTTTTCTCGGAAACCGTCAAATTTAGAGAATGAGACAAGGCATATTGTTTTTGTGTAGGAAATACTGGCACTTCAAATGAGATGCTCAAAACTGTACTTTTTCCAGTGGCGTAGAAGAAGAAGAAAATACTCACTACCCCTTCAAAATCTTCACCAATTATGACTTCTAGAAGAAAAAAATCCACACAAAACATAGCTTATTATGTGTAGAAAATGCTTATGAGAGCTGCTTTTTGTTCGACTAACGGTTCCAGAAATATTCGCAAAAAACGATTCCTTTTTCAAATTTCAACACTCTATATCTCGAAAATAGTTTCGCAAATCATCTACCAGTGATGAATAATAATACAATTCGGACTATTTATCTCTAAATTTAATTACAGCATCACAATATACAAAACATAAATAGCACATTCACGCCCAATAGTTTTTTTGGTGATTTCCATAATGAAACCCTTCATTGCCGCCAAAAGACGCCATGTCCTGCCCTGGCTTCCACTCCATTTTCTCCCACCCCGGCAATACAGTACTAGCACTAGCACTAGTGCTAGCACTAGCGCTTGCGCTGACTTCGTTGCTGAGATCTAGCTCCTTGATTTCATCGATTACCCCACCGATGCTACTAGGATCAGGCTGATCCGGCATTGGGTAGCTGAAAGTGTCCTTGGGTCTACTTCGCGAAGAGCTGGCAACAGCGTAATCTTCTTTGTGTCTCGACGAAGTACCTGTATAATAATAATGTTTATTTGTGACAGACTAATAGATTCAATATGAAAATAAACTTATCAAATCAACATGAAAGTAAGGCCGAAAGTACAATGTATACAGGGTGTTTCATGAGAAGACTCACATAGCGAAATGGTTGATAGGGGAAATCAAGACGAGTTGATGTATATATATATTGTTGTATTTAGTTTCAAATAATTAATAATTGATTTGTACATACTGTATATTTTGAAAAATCTGACTACATCAAGTGACTGTATAAAAAAAAAATATAATAATAAATAAGACTGTCAGACAGACAATTATTAAAAAATAAAGAAAATAAGTAATTTGTTCTTCAGAGCCGAATATTAATTAGGACGATTACAGGTAAACTTCATCAATGGATTGATGAAGTTTACCTGTAATCGTCCTAATTAATATTCGGCTCTGAAGAACAAATTACTTATTTTCTTTATTTTTTAATAATTGTCTGTCTGACAGTCTTATTTATTATTATATTTTTTTTTTTTATACAGTCACTTGATGTAGTCAGATTTTTCAAAATATACAGTATGTACAAATCAATTATTAATTATTTGAAACTAAATACAACATTCTCCCCCCAGTAATTGTATCCGCCAAATAACAATTACTTCTTCACGTCTAAAACTATCAATCTTGAAACGTGTCGTCGAAATAAGGTTCCATGCCCATTCTTGACATCAACGATTCGAATTTTTCCATCAGCTGCGGGATAGAGGTTGACTACGATTCCTTTTGGCCATACATTCCTTGGACTATTTGGTTCTGCCATGATCACGACGTCTCCAACTTCAATATTTCTTCTTTCTTGAAACCATTTTGTTCTTCTTATCAAAGTAGGCACATATTCTTTGCTCCACCTCTTCCAAAATGTGTCTGATAACTTTTGTGCAGCTCGCCAACTTGACATTAGATTCAGGTCTTTTTCGATCGTTTTGGTACAAGGTAGTGCCGCATAATTTGGTCCAATTAGGAAGTGATTTGGGGTCAAACTTTCGGAGTCTTCTGAGTCTAGTGACACATGAGTCAAAGGCCTGGTATTAAGAATATTCTCACATTCCGTCAGGAAAGTTCTCAGGATATGTTCAGGTGGGTATCTTGATTTCAAAATTTCTTTCAGGATCTTCTTGACACTTTGTATGAGCCGTTCCCAGCTCCCACCCATATGGGGCGCTAGTGGAGCATTGTAAAAATATTTAATATTTTTCATTGCACAAAATTTCATTATATCATCCTGATTTAATTCTTTCAAATTCTCAGCAAGTTCTTTTTCCGAACCTCTGAGATTAGAACCATTATCACAGTATATTTCTTCGGGAAATCCTCTCCTACAACCAAATTGACGAAGAACATTGATGAAGGAGTTTGTGCTCATATCATGGGCAATCTCAAGATGCACGGCACGAGTTGCCATACATGTGAAAATCACTCCATACCTCTTTTCTCGACTTCTTTTGACCGTTACTTCTAAGGGTCCAAAATAGTCGATTCCGGTCTTGATAAAAGGGCGGATAGTTGGTTCAATTCGACACTGTGGCAACTGTCCCATCATCGGTATTATTGGCACACTTCTCTTTATCTTGCAATGTAGACAATTCCTCCATACGCTTTTCACAGCTTGTCTCATTCTGAGTATCCAACATTTTTTCCGTAGGTTATTGATAACAATTTCCTGTCCGTAGTGATGAACAGCCTCGTGATAGTTTATGATAATCAGTTTAGTAATTTTATGAGTCGGGTCTAAAATAATGGGTCTCTTCATTTCCATGTCCAATGAAGACTTGTCCAATCTTCCACTAAGCTTGATGAGTCCATCTTCCTCAGAATAAATGCACGTCAGCATGTAAATCCTGCTTTTTGGATTCAATGATCCTTTATTTCTCAAAATATGTACTTCCTGTGGAAACGAGTCTTCTTGAATTTTCCGATAGATTAAATTTTCTGCTTCATGCAGCTCATCTACGGAGAGTTCTTTCTGATTTTTCACTTTGCTTTTCATTATTTTGATAAATCTCAATACATACGCCGTGGATCGTAGTAATCTTTGCCATTTTGAAAATCTTTCTGCATCAGGTAATATCATAATTTTCTTACTGGAATTTAGAAAAACAAATTCTGTTTGTCTCATTTCCAGTGTATCTGAATCAATTTCTGGTAAGTCCTTATTCTCCTTCGGCCATTTTTCTGGTCCAGAAGATAAAAAACCTGGACCATTAAACCATTTATTTTTATCCCATGAAGATGGCCTCTTCGTTGCTTCGTCAGCTGGATTTTCTTTAGAATATACATACTTCCATTCGGACACGTTGGTGATGTCTTGTATTTCTCCCAATCTTTGGGCAACGAACACTTGGAATCTTCTAGCTTCTGAGTTTATCCACTGAAGAACAGTCCTTGAATCACTCCAATAGAATATCTTGGAAAATGTCAAGTTCAAACTGGTTTTCAGAGAGTTTCCCAAGCGAGCACCCAATAGAGCAGCTTGTAATTCCAGTCGTGGAATTGACAAGGGTTTCAGAGGAGCAACTCTTGCCTTAGCTGTCACAAAACAGGTTTTGACTTCCTGTTTATGTTCCACTCGAAGATATACAACGGTGGCATAACATGTTTCTGAAGCATCACAAAATACATGCAATTGGATATCACTCTCTTGGCGATTCATGGTGAAATACTGCCTGGGAATTTCAATTTTATAGATATTTTTCAAGTCAAAAAGCCATAACTTCCATTTTTCTTCCAAATTGTCAGATATTTCGTCATCCCAGCCAATTTGACTCCTCCATATATCTTGTAAGAGTACTTTACCTTGTATAATGAAATAAGTCAAGAAACCTAAGGGATCAAAAATGGACATAACTATTTTTAGAATTTCTCGCTTGGTCGGTCTTCTTCGATTTTCTAATAGATCTTTTTCAATTTTGTGGAATTTGGTTTTGAAGACAAAAATATCTCTTTGGTGATTCCAAAATACACCCAATATTCTTTCGGTTGACATTTCATCATTATTATTTTCAATATTTTTACAACACTCAGCTAATAAGTGTTCATCAATGTCTTCTAGAATTCCTGTTTTATTAGCGATCCAATTGCATATGACAAACCCTCCCTGACTATGAAGAAAAATTACCTCTTTTATGAGTTTTTTGGCTTCCTCTTCAGTGTCTGCATTACCCAAGTAATCGTCCATGTAGTGGTTCTTTATGATCTCGTCGCTTGCCTCGGGGAATTCTTCTGCGAAATCGCGTGCGTTCCTGTTTTTTGCTTCCTGAGCTAAGCAAGGACTACAGGTTGCTCCAAAAAATACTACAGAGAGTTCATAAATGTCTGGTTCCACATTTCTTTCCATACCACGCCATAATAATCGCTGAGCACAGCAATCTTCTTTCCGTACTCTGATCTGTAAGAACATTTCTTTGATGTCGGCTGTGAATGCATATCGTTTAATTCTGAAATTTAATAGTATTGTTTGGAGAGAATTATAAAGATCAGGACCAGTTAATAAATAGTCGTTTAAACTGACTCCATTACTTTTAGCAGCGGCATCAAAAACAATTCGTAGTTTTGGCTTATTAGGGTTTTGTACCCCAAAATGTGGCAAATACCAGGATTTATCTGAATTTATTACCTCTTCTGCAGCGAGTTTCCTGATATATCCTTTTTGTTCTAGATCCAGAAATTTCTTACAATACATGTCACTATAGTCTTTGTTTCTATCCATTTTCCTCTCAGTACATTGAAGTCTCTTTAGGGCATTTGATTTACTCTCGGGAAGTACCGGATGATTATTCTTCCAGAGTAGACCGGTTTCGAATCTCTCGCCAACCCTCTTCATTGTCGTGTCCAAAATGTCTTGAGCTCTTTTATCTTCAATAGACATTACCTTATCTGTCGTTGTATGAATGGATTCCATTTTCCATTGTTCCTTAACCAAATCATGAAGAAGGTCTAAGTCATCTTTAATTTTCATGTTAATGTGTCGGATATTACAAACAAATTGCGGAGTGTACTCACTTTCTTCAATATTTCCATGTAGTACCCATCCCAATAGTGTCTTACTCATTGCAGGTCCATTCCATGGTCCAGTTATCAATTTCCTATTCACCAGGAGAGGCCAGTTGTCTTGTCCTATTATTATCTTTGGCTGGACATCCTTCATAGATGCTATCTTATCACAGATGTAAGGATAACGACTCCTTATCTTATCTACATCTATTGTTTGCGAGGGCAAAGATAATTGTGTAGTTCTAACGTGCCGTAACTGAAAACTAGGACCATTATTTATTCCTTTGATTGTGAAACTAACTATTCTTGAATCGTTTTGATGATGCACCACGTCTTCATTCGTCCACTGGAGACATAATGATTCAGAAGGACCAGACAATCCTAAGGAATCTGCGAATTCTTGGTCAATCAAACTGATTGTAGATGCATCGTCCAACAATACATAGGTTTCAACTGTTTCATTACAATAACTGATTATAACTGGCAATATTTTTAGTAAAACACTCGAATATCCAGAAATACGACAATTTGTTTCAACGACAGCAGGCGATTGTTCAATATCATTGGTAGAAGTAACATTGTTCGAATGTTCAGTTTTGTGTAAAAGGGTATGATGTGGTCTTCTACAATCTTGAATTCCACATATCTTTCTTTTTCTACATTGCTTTACATTATGAAATGGCATCAAACACGAGAAACACATTTTTGTCTTTGTCATAAATGTCCATCTTTCATCTGGGGTCATTTCTAAGAATCTAGAACAAGAACTCAGATGATGAATCTCCCTGTTGCAGCAGAAACAATTTTTTCTGGTACTCAAAGTAGTTGTCATAGTTACGTCTCTATTTTTATATTTTACTTTCTGGTTGTCAATTCTGATGTCATCTATTTTGGGAATTTGAATTTGTGACATGAGATTAGCTTTTTCGTCAAGCCAATTTGTGAATTCAACCAACTTCAGGTTTGGCTTTGGCATTTTCGACAAATGTTCTGCCCAAGAGAGCTTGTAACATGTTGGTAATTTATTTAATACCTCATTCAGAAGAATGGGATTCTGCAAATGATCTGTTTCCTGAAGTGATTCAATTGTGGCAACAAAATTTTTGATTTCATCAGAAAATTCTATGAAAATATCCAATTTGTCTTCCCTAATTGATGGAAACCTCTTGATTTTTTCTAATAACATAGAAATTATGTACTCCGAACGTCCGAATCGAGCATGAAGTAAGTCTATTATCTTTTGTACATTTTGTGGCATTATCAGTAGAGATTGTACAATTTTTCTAGCATTTCCTTTAAGGCATTTTTGTAATCTGAACTGATTTTCGGCATCTGAATATCCGCAAATAGCACTTGAATTATTATACTGATATATAAAATTAGGCCATTCAAGTGGGTTTCCATCAAATGTAGGTAAATCTTTGGGCAAAGATTGCCTTGTCAAGATTTTTGTTATTTGAGGGATAGTCATTTCACCTGAATTATTGTCATTATTGAAAATAGAAGATTTCTCTGGCTTATTATTGACAACAATATCTCTTACCGTTTCGTGTTCTTTAACTGAATTTAACTGTCTGACCTCGCATGCTTTTGTGTCCTGCCTGAAATCCCATGGAGAGTTACCGTCGATCCAATTTTCCATGTTAGGCTGCCTTGACTCATGCATCCACTCAGACCCACTGCTTTCGCTTCCTTCTTCTATTTCCGCCAATTTTAGAGCCAATTCTAAATCCAACATTTCTTTTTCCTTCTTCAATTCCTCTTGTTCTAGCTGCTTCTTCTTGATAGCAGTCTCTATCTCTGCTCTTCTCACTCTTGAAGCTTGACTACTTTTCGACGTTTTCTGACTTTTTCTCGAGTTAATAGAATATGTTGGGTTTTCAACTGCTCGACTGTCTATTTTGCTCTCTGACATGACATCAAGAGCATTCTTTTCTTGCAGGCGTTTGCTGCGTCTCAAATTTTCAGATCTAGCTCTCAATTCCATGATAACTTCTCCAAAGTGCCTGTTCTCTTAAATAACTCGAAGGACCATTGATGAAGTTTACCTGTAATCGTCCTAATTAATATCCGGCTCGAAGGACCATTGATGAAGTTTACCTGTAATCGTCCTAATTAATATTCGGCTCTGAAGAACAAATTACTTATTTTCTTTATTTTTTAATAATTGTCTGTCTGACAGTCTTATTTATTATTATATTTTTTTTTTTTATACAGTCACTTGATGTAGTCAGATTTTTCAAAATATACAGTATGTACAAATCAATTATTAATTATTTGAAACTAAATACAACATATATGAAAACATTTTCTGATCCTCCATAACGAAGAAATTGTGAAATTGCTATATAACTTTGATGGTCGATATTACAGAAATGATTCGTCGTAATCTGCTGAAAAAATATCCAGGTCCGGACTTGGGAAAATGTTATGTCAAAAAAGTTCACTTTGTGACCACTTTTCTTGAAAAATTCTATCATATTCAGAAAGATCAGACAAAATGCTATAAGAACTGCTCTTCAATTTACACGGCACACTTTGACCGGTTCAATAAAAAAATATAAAACAAAATCGTTCGAATGAATTTTAAATTTCGACCTGGCTGATAACTGTCAACTTTCAACTGGTATCATGTGAATTGATTTTTTCTACATTTTCGTGGAATAGTTATTGACAGATAGATAGACGAGAAGAAAAAACACGATATTTTTTATCGAAATTCCAGATAGATATTATTATTGCTTTTGGGTGTATGATAAATTGACATTCATCATACAGGGCGTGGAAATGAATTCTGAATTGAGACTCTATCACGAATCTGCGATTAGAGGTCTATGAAAATCACAAGTTTCCATCGTTCAAGTTTAAACCCCCTGATTGGGTATGAAAGTGTTGAAAAGGAATATTCTCAGATATTATTATTCCTGACTTTGTTTTATGGGTGTCGCTTGAAGTGAGATATCTAGTTGGTCCTGTTTTTCATTTGTGTGACGTTTGTTGATATTGATGTTATGGTGATTTATCAAACTAGTCATGCCATCACGCATAAACTTAGCTCCATTTTTTGTTATTGATACACTTCTGCAAGTGATATAAGGATGCATTTGCTATTGATTCAAAACTCCTAATGTTAATCCTCGTGAAGGTTTTACTGCAACGTATTCTTTGGTCTGGAAATATTCTATGGTATTAAACATAGCATAGCATTTGGATTTTCGTCTTGTTCAGCATTTGGAATATGAAGTGGCACCTAGAGTGTAAGACTATTTCGATTATCAGTGTTAACCTATCAACAAAAACGCCACGTTACATAAAATAAAAACAGGGCCCACTTTATAACGGATCATAACTAATCTCTTCTGTCAATTTCTATCCAATAAAAATGTACAAAAAAATCAATTTACACGAATCTAGTTAGAAGTTGAGAGTTATCAGCCAGGTCGAAATTGAGAATTCATTCGAACGATTTTGTTCCTTATTTTCTTATTGAACCGGTCAAAGTGTGCCGTGTAAATTGAAGAGCAGTGCTAATAGCATTTTGTCTGATCTTCCTGAATCTGATGGAATTTTTCGAAAAAAGTGGTCAAAAAGTGAACTTTTTTGACATAACAATGAAACATAAAATTTTTCTTGTGCTGGCTTCCTCGCGCCTTTTATATGTTAAATCTATATTTTGGAAACGTGACAGTGAAGAAGTCAGGTGGATATTCCTGGCTCGTTGAAGTCAATGCCATGCCTGTGTTTATATACAAGTACTAATCGAAAATTCGTGGTTTAATAATTTTGGAAGCAATAAACACAGACCTGACCGTTCAATGACTTCGAACTGATATGTTTTTATAAGAATTTTGGAATTTGGCTTCAAATATCTCCTCATTTGTGACAATATCACAGTACCTGGTTCTGACTGCCCATGCGCCATCCGGCTAAAACTATTCGCTTGAGCATGCGCATGCGTCATCTGCGCCTGCGCCAAAGCATAATTGGACTCCAGCAGCGCAGAATACTCGGCCCTGGAGTAGTCCTGGTTGTAGGAGTGCTGCTGAAAGACGTTGTAGTTGTGGAACTGCGCGTTCCGCCAGTCGTACTGAGTGTCCCCTGGATACTGGCAAGGCATGTTGGTGACTGGAAGCACTGGGAATCCCAAGGCGTTCGTGGGGTTGGTGTTGCCAGAGTTTTTGCGGAGGCGAGCTCTGCGGTTCGAGAACCAGACCTGAAAGAAGCATACTTTTAGTCCATCCTGCGTATCAAACCAACACCGTGCATGATTTTCAATATCTTAGTACTGCTTGGTTCCTTCCCACTAATCATATGTCAGTATCAGAAATTCATCAGGAATGTCTTACGGATATCTGAAAGATTTTCACATGAGTCTCTCTGAAGTTTCAGAAACGTTCCAGACAATGTAAACGTCCTATACCCCAGTGAAGTTTCATGGAACGTTTCAACAACATCGTCCAGACACGATTCAGAACAATCGTTGTGGGCACGTTCCAACAAAACTGTCCTGGACACGTTTCATAATTTTTTCCAATTTCGTCTTTTTGGCTTTTCGAAACTAAGCACCTGGATACGATTGATCACAAATTAAGGCTTGACAACCACTGCCAAGCACATACATTCAGAAATCAGAAACAATGACTACGTATTTTACAAACTCGAAATAGGACTGTAACATCAGTTAGCGACTGTTTTACACCGTTATCGTGGACATGTCAGCGGAATGGTGACAAATACATTTTATAAGAGTGTGGGGAATGTTAATGTCAATAAGATCATTACTCATTCTATTCGTGCCTTTCAGAAGTATAGTATCGTTTTTTTTTCAGTTATGTTAGTTATAAAGTTATGTTCAAAACTACTCGGTACGAACCGTGTAACTAGCGCCCTCTATGAGAGTCAGATATAAAAACGAATGCATGCGATGTGTCAGATTCCAAGAAACATCCATACAAAATTTCACTACACTTTCACTAGCAAGGGAGTCAGGTTTTTTTGAAACACCCTGTATAATAAGTCTTAATCAATTGATAGATACATGAAGATGTTTATTTTCGATTGCAGAACTACATCTTCTCGAGTCTCGATGATCTCTTCTACACTTGGAATGTCTAGTATAAATCTACGAATATTCAGAAGAGTATCACTCTGGAAGGACTGTTTACCTGTATTCTAGCTTCTGTTAAACCAGTCTGCTGAGCAAGCTCTTCTCTCACATACACGTCTGGATATTGTGTTCTGGCAAACGCTCGTTCTAAGGCTTCCAGCTGTTCACCAGAAAAAGTCGTCCTAGATCGCCTCTGCTTCCTCTTCAGTGGTATGCCTGGCTCTGATTCGGTATCACTGTCATCCTCTCTTCCTATAAATATAAGAGAAACTTTCTCGTTATTCCTAGAACTATTGCTCAAAGCTTGAACACATACTTGGGAACACGCTACCCAGCGAGCACAAAAACATCTCAGAGATGTTAAAAGTACGAGATTTCGAGACATAGAACCTCCACTGCGATGTTCTGTTCACACATGAATGGAACTATTATAGAACAGCCAATGTCCGCCGAAGGCGGCAATTATCGAGATGTCCTTGATATGTCACAAAACTACCTTCTCCCTAGTTCTTTTTAAAGCCTTTTCATGGACACAACAGAACATTTTCAACGCGTCTTGCGCACATTAAATCGCTGTAAAAAACATTTTCGAGGTACTTTTCTGAAGCCTTTTGTCAAAATCAACTTTTGCGTTAGGATTCCATTTCCCTCATGAAAAAATGCATTAAAAATAGATTGAACATAAAAATATTTTCTTGATATGAAATTACCTTCTCAATCGGTTTCTGAGTAGTGCTTACTACACACAGACATATAATTGGAAATAGGTTTCCCAATTTTTGAAATGTTCTCCACAATGCATAATTTTGCAACTGCGGAGAAGCTGTGTATTGATGAATTCGTACTTTTATTTATTGATTACACCGAGGCACCGTACAACACATCTTGCATCTGATGGTCATTATTACAAACTAAATAAGTCTTCTAACACAATAAACTTCACCAAATTCCTCTCTGTTCGTTAGCAGCGTGATGTAAGCGTGGCACGCTGCAAACGCGAATGCCAATTGCGAACAAGAAGAACAAAATCGAAAACAAATCAGAATTCATCGTATTGTGACGTGAGCATGAGACGTTGTGGTGGGGCAAACAGAGAATGGGCACAAAAGAACAAAAACAATACTTTCAATATCCTTCTAAGACCTCTTTGGGGAGTGCATATTACTCCTCAAAAAAACATCCTCATGCCTACATTTCTAAAACATCCCAAAACATCCCAGGGATACCTCTCAGTAGGCAAACAAAGAAATGCCACAGAGGAACAAAAACAATACTTCAATATCCTTCAAAGACCTCTTTGGTCAGTGCATATTACGTCTCAAAATAACATCTTCATGCCAACATTTTCAAAACATCCCAAAACATCCCAGGGATGTTTGTGCTCGCTGGGTATATTGGTTATAAATTGCTCATTCTGTATATGTACGAGAAATGTGGAGATGTTTGAGGTGCAAATCCTGAACAGTATTCATGGGGGGTCAAGAACATTTACTACCCCCTAAGGCTGGATGTTTTGATAAATGCTCTCATTAATCAAGTAACATCAGTTTCATGAACAAAATAACTCATGAAATATGGCGTTCCGTCTCATTATGATGAATATATTATAATGTAGGAGTGTGATTGTCAGAGTACTTCGAAGTGAAACCAGCAAACTTTCTTTCCAAATAGTGTTTATGATCGGAATACCTATACTGTGAGTTTTTGAATGTAGGATGCTACATGATTAGTTTGAAAGGAAATATGTTTAGGAATCGTGGACGGGTTAAAACACTAATTACACTAAACAACATATCACCTATGGATAAAATTCCCGGAATGTCTTCCTGGTCAAAGAGTGAACCATTGAAAGATGAAACCATATACCATATTTGAATGCATTATATTCAATTCTTCTTGAGATATTGCGAAAAAACTATTTTTTCTGCAAACGACACAAAAGTCGTCCATTTTGATATCAAAAGTAGCTCTTAAATTGACGTTTCTAATACTGACACAAAAAAGGTATGTTGCTAGGCAACATATTTAGTTCCTAGGAGCTGAAGTTGAATTTTAGTTCCTAGGAGCTAAAGTTGAACTTTAGCTCCTAGGAACTAAAAAGGATGTACTGGACGTCATCAAGAATAAACAACATTGTGACGGTTGGTTATTTGGGTTGAGACGCATATCTGATTTGTTTCCGATTCCAGCAGATTTGGCATTTTATACGCATGCTGGAGATATAAATACTCCTTATTATAGTTTAGTATTGGAATTATAAACATCTCAGTTAAGAATTTTTGTTTTGAACAGGAAGCCTTCAAGATTCAAATACTTGCTTGATCTGTATTTCATTCGTTATTCTCGGGATGAATAACTTGTTTTGGAATAATCACGGCAAGCAATAGTTTTTTTGTCTCAAACAACGATATTGTTTAGCTTCATTAGATTATCAAGTCAAATACAGTGTCGTATGGAGAGGAATAAATAATCACTATTATCATTGTTGATATGCTCACTAACCTAAAATTTTCCACGTCTTGTTCTTATAGCTGGCACTGGCGCGGTATATGCCATTAGAGCACCTGGTCCATACACAAATATGTCACTATCTGTGGTTGTATTCATATTGAAACTACAATTCGAACATTCTTGAAAACCTAACCTGCTGTTAATGCAGGTAGAATATTCTCACCACACGGATTATTTGTCAATATTTGTTGCATTGCATACATATGGCACGGCATTGGTGGTTACTTCACATGTTTATTTGAGTTAATTGTTTCGGTTGCAGAAAAAATAGCATGTTTCATTCGGATCAAAAGTGACTTTGTTCGACTCGCAAATTTTGCTTTCGCTCGGCTTCGCTAGACGCTCCGCCTCGCAAATGCAAAATTCGCTTGTCAAACAAAGTGTCACTTTTGATCCTAATAAAACAATCTACTATTAATTTCTGACCTTATGTCCCTATCTAAGTAATTATGAAATCACGAGGGCTATCACCTGTCAAGCGTTGTCAGTCGAATTTCGCAACACCCTGTATATGTAGCCTCCTTTTGAGAGATGGACATATTTTTGTATCATTATCTTTCTTGTTTTATTTTCTCTCTCTATGGGATATCCCAATTGCCGATGGATTGATGATTATAATTATGTATAATATAGTAATTCTTTTCATGGCAGTGATAATTAATTATTCACAGATTATTCATTATCATTAAATGGGCTGTCTTGAATACGTAATGGGAGATACTTAGCTTTGTTTTGTTAAAGTAAATAAACGAGCATTTTTTTGCGTCTTATTAATTAGAGCATAAACTAGGTAGGTATACGTATAAATGCGAAATTATACACCACTATGGTATGATTAATTTAATGACTATTTGAATATAAATAATAAATCAACCACTATTTTGATATTTTTTAAGTCCATGGCTAACAAATAATGATATCGTAAATGGAGAAGTTTATTATATAAATATTCGAGTCCATTTTTCTGTGGAATGGGTGAAGGTCACATTCATAAACAGTTCGAATTCTGCTTCGTTCAGTGCATGAAAAAGCTCAGTACACAGTGAAAAAAAATAACACCAGTTCACACCAGCTAACACCCTTGGGTGTCCCCTGAGGTCCTGATCATTCTAGTGGGAATTAACTCTAATATTTTTAACACCATCATTGGGTGTCATTCGTTCTTACATACAGTCAAGAACTACACTAGGGTATCTAGAGCTAATTTGATCGATTCGTGTTATTGAACACCAAAGTGGTGACTGATGTACAATCATTTGGTGATTATTTTGACACTGTATTTGTTGCGTTTTTGTTTTTACTGATGATATTATGATAATATGTGAATATTTTTCGGATATTCTTCTGTTGTGATAACACACTTATCGAGTGTTATCACGCTGAGGAGCAGTGTTTTCTTGTCTGCATCTGAGTGTTGAATAACACAACTCTGACATACTAACATTAGTATTCAGTGTATAAAATGATCCAATGTAGTGAGAGTTGTGACTTACAAAACATCTCTGAGCTGATACTATTTGTAGGCTGTCGAGAAACGAGCGTCGAAGGAGCGCTAGTGTCACCATCTATCAAGATATTTACTTTACTAAATATTTTTCTGTGCACAAAATTTCTACTTTGATATTCAATTTCATGTTCAATCTGGTTCGATATTATGTACTCTATATCGCTTCGCAATATAAAAATCATCGTATATATTTCATGAATCAGCTTAAAATTTATTTATTGCATTATTTTCACGAAATCATCCGTTCTTATTGTCACCTATCAATCTGGATACCAGAATTCGTGGATGATGATATACCTACACAATGTTGATCCATTCTTCAATGAGTTCAGGTTTTTCAGTGGGTAATTTCATTATCAGCAATATTATTTATTCACATGGGAGAATGCAAGACGATGAGGGAACTATATTAGCCCCAAATCTCATAATTCATACACGGTTCTGATTTGTTTGTGATTGGTGAGGGTGTAACTAGGTGATAATTTCATATAATAAGTGTATTTTTTGGATAATACCACTATCGAAAGTGATTACTTCTCATCCTGTTGGTGTTTCTCTTGAATGGATATTTCAGAGCCCCTCTAAATTACCACATCCGTGTAATTTTTCACTATGACTGTGTAAATTGTCACCACTGTACACGGTATTATCAAATTTTCAATAATATTGGTATGATATTGCTAATCAAGTGTTGATTCAATCGGAGTTATTTCTGAAATCCACTCGGTTTTAATTACACGCGAAAATTTTTCACTATGTAGGATCATCGGTGTGAAAACTAGAGTGTTGAATTGGTTGTCTACACACTTTTTTACTTTACATAAACCGTTCAAGTCCTGGACTTGACTTGACTTTCACTCAATCATCAGCATTGGCCACGTTTATACCGTGTCTTGGTAAGCTGACTAATGCCTATATTTTGACTAAATACTCTTGGTCAGTTTGGTATAAACTGTATACTTGGTAAAGTTACCAGCTTGGTTTGGTACCGAAATTTGTTGCGTACCAGACTAAAATAGAATGATGACCAAGACGGTGTAAACGTTTTGGTCTACTTTTGTATAGCCTTGAATTGACTTGAGTGCAAGTGGCAGTTATTTCATGAGTTCTCATAATAATATTTTATTCAAATTCAGCAAATTTCGATTCCTACTAAGAGGTTCTATTCTTAATTTACGAATTCAAGTGAAGTTACACAACGTAATCTCACGAAAATAATTAAGTCAAAACAAAG